CAAAGCACTCGAACCTGGAAACCGCATTGGCAGTTTCCAAACTACCTGGGATCCGAAGCAGTAGACCGTATGTCGCAGCGTCCCTGAACCCAGACCCCCGGGAGGATCCAAAAAGTAGATCCCTTAATGGGGGCTCCTATGAAGTACCCTTAGTAGTTTAGGGCTCCAAATTAGGGGATCTACTTTCTAGATCCTCCCGGGGGTCTGGGAAATTTCAGTTACGGGTTTGGGGTCGAGGGTTGCAATTTTGGGACTAGGGATTTAGGCTTTAGGGTTTAGGGTTTAGGGTTTAGGCTTTAGGGATTAGAGTTTGGGATCTTGTTAGGGCTTTAGGGATGGAGTTTGGGGTTCAGGGAGGGCTCCGTGTCCTGCAAAGAAGACATCGTTCATAGGAGGCCAAAAGGGGTTTTAGCCTATGGGGGTAGAGAAGGGATTAGGAGGGTTCATATTAAGGAATCCCTACCCCAAGAATCTTAAACCCCCCTTTTGGCCGCCCACCATCTCCAGGAGACAGGTCGTTTCTCCGAGGATTCCACTGTTCTCCGCCGGCCGAAAATATGGACCGACGAGGGGATGGGATGTACCCAGAGGCTCCATAGTAGTTCCTTTTTGGGATTACCTTCTAGGATTTTATCTATGGGCCCCAAAAACGAACTACCATGGAGCCTCCGTTTAGGTGTAGGTTTTGGTCTTGTGCTTTAGGGTTTAGGGTCTGCTTTTTGTTGGAAACAGGGGATAGGGTGCAGGTTATCTGGCTTGTGGTTAGGGTTGAGGGTTCTTGGTTTATCAGGTTTCAATGGCTTCAGCTTGTGTTATGGATGCTTGGGAGTAGGCAGGATTCTTAGGCTCGGTTGCGCCGACGCTCTTTCTGGCATGTGGGCTAGCGGCTGGCACTTCACAACGCATTTAGCGGACAGGATAGATGCAGGGATTAGGTGCTCAATGGTTCGGGATGAAGGCTTATGTCAGAATTGAGGGGTTTAGAGTTCAAGAATCCTAAGCCCTAAACCCTATGAAGCACTTCAAGCAAGGAATCCTGATTTATGACTCAAGCTCGAGACCTTGGCTCTGTTGGGAAGCCTGCGATCCGACGCCAGGGACATTGGTGACGGTGCAAGGATTGTGCTAAAGCATGTGCACAATGACGGGCTGAGTACAATCGAGCCCCTGAAGCCTAAACCCTAAAGCTCTAAATCCTAAACCCTAAACCATCAAAAAGGGGCTCAAAAAAAAACCTAAGCCGCCTAAACCCCTAACCCCCTGAACTGTAAGCCCAATCCCTGACTTTCTGTCGAGGAGCGCGTTGGCTTCGGCCGTGGGCCGAAGCAGCAAGTCCGGGTGGTCGCAGGCAAGTTGCTTGGAGGATCGTGGTGTTACCCAGGGGCCCCAAAGTAGTTCCTTTTGGAGTTACCCTATAGGATTCTATATATGAACCCCAAAAAGGAACCACTTTGGGGACTTAGGGTAGTCCCTGAGGGTTTGGAGTTTAGAAGTACTTTCATAGCTGCGGTTGTAAGCAGTTGTTGCAGGTGTTTGCTATACTTCCCTTACTCGAAACCCTACTTACTAAGGTCCCCCACCGCCCAGCCTGAAGAAGGGTCTAGGGTTCAGAGTCACATGGGGGCCCTAATGCGAATAGGGTTTGGGGTTTGGGATATAACATACTATAATAAATGTAATGAGCACCCCCCAAACCCTATACTATTCTATTCACTAAGGCCCCTACATTTTACAGAGCTTATTCTGCCTTGTTGCCCTCCGTCTAGACGGTTTCGGGGTTTGTGGAGTGTTTGTGGGCTTTTGGGTATTCGGAGCCTATTGCTTCGGCGCTAGAGTTTGAATTGGGTACGGCCCCCACTCAGTAATAGTTGACTGATAATATTCATAATATAGATATATTACGACCTTAGTCGTAGCCCTACTATAGACTCTTCAACCCTAAACCAAGTACCTAAAGTTTGAAAAAGGCTAAATCCTCAGCCCCCGAAGCCCCGCTCCACTACAGCAAACGACTAGACGCGACCTTGACCCCACAACCCTGAACCGTACCCAGGGGCCCCAAAGTAGTTCCTTTTTGGAGTTACCCTATAGGATTCTATATATGAATCCTACTTTGGGGCCTTTGGGTAAGGAATCCCTACCCCAAGAATCTTAAACCCCCTGGCCTCCTATCATGTTATTGAGGTAGGGATCAGCGTGTAAGGTTTCAAGCAGAACTCAGCTCAAGTTACGACAGAAGCAGGAAAGCATACGTGGGTTTCGGTACCTCGATTTCTGTAAGCTTTCGAACAGGATTTCTCCAGAATCCCCATGGAAATCCCTAGAAGCCTTTTATCAACATCCCGTAATCGCCCTTGTGACATCTCTAAACCCTAAATCCCTAAACCCCAAACCCTAAACCCTAAAACCCTAAACCCTACCCAGGGGCCCCAAAGTAGTTTCTTTTTGGCGTTACCCTATAGGATTCTATGTATGAACCCCAAAAAGGAACTACCTTGGGTTTTTTTTGGTAAACCTTAAACCTTACAGCCGCAACCCTATTCCCGTGGCAGGTGCTTGCGGCCTTCAGGGCCTTTTCCGAGGCTGGCTTCGCGCGCGCGCGCGCGCGCGCGCGTGAATCTTCGCAGATCTTTTGGGGGGTTTAGGGTTTATGTTTTCAGGGTTTATAGGGTTTAGGGGTTTAGGGGTTTAGGGTTTAGGGCTTCGGGCTTTAGTTGGTTTTGGGTTTAGGGCTCTATGGTTTAGGTGCTTTTAGACATGTAGAGGATTGGGGGCTTTCTTTCTGTACTAAGAAGATCAGGGCGCTTAGCAGTCAAGGTTGCAAGTACATACATTTATGGGGATAATTATGGGTAGCTAGAAGCCACATCTCTTCTAGTGCTATTTATCAGGGGAGTGCATCAATTTAGGCTGGTGCGATGTTCTTGATAATCCATAAGGTTCCCAAACCCTATCACTACCCCAAGGCCTCAAAGTAGTTCCTTTTTGGGGTTCATATATAGAACCCTATAGGGTAATCCCACAAAGGATCTACTTGGTGGCCTCTGGGTAAAGCAAGAGGCCACCAAAGATGTGGACCCGCAGATTCTCGCCGCGGCCATGGGCGTTTGCAGGCCTGTCCTGGCTATAAACCCTAAAACCCGAAACCCTAAACCCTGAAACCCTATAAACCCTGAAAGCCTAAACGCTAAAACCCTGAAGTCCTAAACCCTGAAACCTTAAAGCCTGAAAGCCTACACGCTAAAACCCTAAACCCTGGAACCCTAAACCCTAAACCCTCCGATTTTTCTATCAGGGCTTCAAATGCCTAGCTGCTACTTAGAAGAGTTCCATGGGTTGTTTCATGTATAGATAGATAGATCGATATTTACCATATATATATATATGTATATGTATCTTTGTGTGTATATGTATGTATGTATGTATGTATGTATGTATGTATGTATGTATGTATGTATGTATATATGTATATACACATTATTTTTACACGTTTGCGCACACAGTTGTGCGCATCTGATATGTTATAATCCGAGGCGCGGAGGATTGTGGTTTCCAAAGACTGCCTGAGTAGGAGCACGGGCAGGGGTGGGATCTGAGATGCAAACCGTAAAAAAAATCATAATCCGACCCGAAACCCCAATCACCAACTCCACCAAAGCCCCACGCCCTAAACGCCAAGCCGTAAACCCTAAACCCAACACCCTAAACCCCGAAAGCCCCACACCCTAGACTCTGTAACCCGAAACCCTCAAAACCCTTAGCTAAAGATTCCCGGACCGTCGAGCTCAAAAGAGTTCGAACGCCGAATGCCCTGGGCTCGGAAACTCTTGGTTAGGGTTTAGGGTTTATAGGGTTCAGGGGACCGCGAAAGAATCCAGAACTCAAACGCCCGAGCTCAGAACCACCCCTGGTGTTAAGGGTTTGGGGGTTAAGGGTTTTGGGGTGTAAAGTTTTGGGGTTTTGTGTTTCGGGATTTAAGGTTTTGGGGTTTAGGTTTTCGGGTTTAATATGGGGGGCTCACAACAAGTCACCGGAACGTGAAAGTATGCCTGCCGAGATGCCATCTTGCACCTTGCATGCTTTCGAGGTTCAGGCTTGTCGATAGGGGTCCGACAGATTCGGGATAGCATCCCCTTGTAGCCTTTCTGAAGTTACCAGAAAAACTGCCCATTCAGCCCTCTTCGGAGTGTCCAGGGCCCTTTGCTGGGCAGTCTGGGCTTTCAGGTGTCAAGCGCGTGTGAACCGCGTACATCAGAGCAGCTGAAACCAAAGAGGGCTTCAGGTTAGTCAAGATAACTTCAATGATAGCCTTCTTACCAATTCCATCGGTTTCCGATTATGATGCATGAACTTGTGAGGGAGTTTACGATCATTGAGATTTACACGTGGACCCTGATCTAGAACAGCCGTCCCCCTATAGAACCTTCTGCATTATGCGATGGCGCTTGGTGTGTAGTTAGAGAACAGTACCACCAGCTCGCACAGCCTTACGCACTTCATCACCAAAGCTGCTTAAGAAAAGCAAGTCTGAGCCTGCTGCATTCTACTCGCGCTCCTCTAACCCCAATCAACAATTTACGCTTCAACCTTCAGCGCTCCAGCCAAAACCGGACACTAAATCTTAATCCCTAAACAGTATTTGCAACCTTTGTGCCAAACCGTGAACCGTACCGAAAGCCTCGCAAGCCTGAATATACTATGGGGGCCATATTATGACTACCTACACTACTTGAGGGGTTCCTTATCACGGTTATAGTATAATGTGCCCCAAAACCCTACTCTAACTATTGAGGCCCCGATATTACCATCCCCTAGAAGCTGCCCCCACACTGTAATAGTGACTATAAGGATTATATTAGCTCCCTATTATATTCCTAGTATACCACTATAACAGGGTGGGGGCCCCTTCTAAACCATCCCCTGTTGCAGCCGCTCTTCGCATTGGACCTGGGCCCTTTATCTCCTTTCGAGTGCGACGTGGGCCGACGAGGGCGCGGTGAATGCAGGCATCCGGACTTGCGCAGTACGAGCTTTGAGGTTTTGGGTTATTGGAGTGTGGAAGTCTCATGTAGAACAGCCCTGATGTCACTTTCAGAATCACCTACTGACCTACTTTTTCTGCAGGGGCATGGACACGAGAATCAGAGTGTATAGGGATGCTGCAAGATGTAGTTGTAGCAGTTTCCTGTAGATGCAAGACTCAGGGATTTGATGCTATGTGTCGTGAACACTCCATCTGACCCCTGACTGCCTAACCCTAAACGGCCCTAAACCTCGCTGATGCGCCAGGCATTGCCGCCTGGGGCAAAGGATCTCACTGGCAGCAAAGTCTGCTCCAACTCTACGCGATGCCCCAGTCTTCCTTGAAATTCTCTGCCCCTTGGACACAGGGTTCAGGATTAAGACTTTCCAATCGACATCCGAAGTGCATGACTGAGGAGATGGAGGGGCCTGTGGCTGTATTGGCGTTCCATGAGGTCGCTGAGTCCAGGTAGTTTTTCTGCACTCCATGAGCCATAAACCCTAAAACCAAATGCCATATAAACCCTAAACTCAAATGCCTAAGCCCGAAAGCCTGAACCATAAACTGGACCTTCAGCATCCCTCAGCCCTACCCAAAGGCCCCAAAGTAGTTCCTTTTTGGGGTTCATATATAGAATCCTATAGGGTAACTCCAAAAAGGAACTACTTTGGGGCCCCTGGGTAGAGCCCCGGGTCCCCGTTCCAGCGCTAAGGTGATCTCTTTCAGCAGTGCCGTGAACGCCTGCGCACAGGGCGCTCAATGGCAGATGGGTCTCGACTTGTCGCTTGGCATCAACATGGCAAAGGCCGACTATGACTACTATTTGCTTAAGAACCTCCAAAAAATATATATTCCTTATGGGGGTAATATAGGGATTATTATTTTTATTTTTTGGGTGTTTCTTAAGCAAATAGTAGATGATTAAAGGAACCCTAAACCCTCTAGTACCCTTATAGTGGCCCTTATGGATCCCTTAAAGGGAACCCCAAGCCCCCAAGCAGCAACTGAGATGGGAGTTTCCGAAAATAGGGGGCCCCAATAGAGCACCCTACATAGCAGGATCCTTATTATCAGGACCCCAAAATATGGTGCCCCTAAAATTCGGAAACTCCCACCAGATGGGGGCCTTACTACATCCCTCGGCTAGGGATCTTCGCCTGCAGGATGTGAGCCAAAGTCAGCCGCGCTGCTTGCTCTCTACCCTAAGGCCCCAAAGTAGTTCCTTTTTGGGGTTCATATATAGAATCCTATAGGGTAACTCCAAAAAAGAACTACTTTGGGGCCTGTGAGTAGTACATGCACCCCAGTCCAGGACCCCGAAGATGCAGGGAAGCAGTGCCCCAAGGAATTCGGGAGATACTTGCAAAAAGCTGTAGTGGTCACGACGACCGATTTACTTCTCTACAGATGAAGCACCATCTCAGGCCGACAGGACCCCGAACAGCTAGACCTGAATTCCGCCAAGACCCGACGACCTGCGCGTATAGGGTTCAGGGCCTAGGGAAGGCCAGTGGCATGGAGTTAGGTCGCCGAAACCATGACCTATCCTTTCCCAACACAATCGGATCTAAGATTGGCCCACCAGCAAGAATAGATATGTTCGATGAGGTTGCGGCACTAGAGGTTGGAACAAGTCGCTTTATATCCCTTTACGTTTACATCGTCCAGTAGAAGTATAGTAGCCCCTATGTTGCGCTGAATAATGAACCTCTTCTCTATGAGCCTTAAGAGCCCAAGGCTACGAGAGATGAATCAGCTGAAGCTTCTCCCAAGCGTGGCACCCTGCCTGGAGCACAATTTCGAACCTGCTGTAAAGGCGTTCTTGGCTATAGGATGTTGTTAGGCTACAGGTGCTTTGGGGTGTAAGGCTTTAGATGGTTTTAGGGTTGAGGTTTTTGTTGATATAGGAATTTAAGGTTCAGGGTGTTACTGATTTTGAACTGTTAGGGCGTCGCACTTTGAGGGTTTAGCAGGGTCCTGGGCATACGATTTCTTGAGATTCCTATGAAGTAGATTGAAGCGTAGTTACCCATACAACCCCAATCGATCCGGTTTAAAGAGTCCGACGCAATCTAAGCGAAATGAATCCACCTTAAGAGTCCATGTGCCTACGTAGTATAGGTTCCTACATGGGTATTGGACGCACAGATGTGTACAGTAAGGTGAAACTAGGCCGGCCCAATCGAGTTAATCCCTCGAGGGGTAACCCTAAACCCTACTCCCTAAGCCTTAAACTTAAATTAAACCTGAAGAAAGTTTTCCCACTTGTCGCTTTGGTTCCTTTTCAAGGGTCGCCTAGGCCCATACAGCGTAATCCTTCAGGACGCTTATGCGGCTTAGTAACTAAAGCTAGACAATTTCATTTGGGTTTTGGTCTTGAGTTGGGTTGTTGTAGGGTTCAGGAGATTGACGAAGGAAGGCCTTCTGCTCACGCACTCTATTTCAAAGCTGGCGGCAAGTGCTTGATTGCAAAAAGCGCAGAAAGGTAGCGCTGAAGGTCTCAGGCACGGAGCGACCTGAACAGACACAATACCCAGAGACTCCAATATCCCTTAATCAGGGAATACACCTTAAATCATATAAGGGATCCTACCAGAATTTAAGGAATATTCCTTAATTAAGGGATATTGGAGTCTCTGGGTAGTTTCCTTTTCGGGCTCCAGCTTCGGTGTTGGAGTATACATAGATGGGTGGTTGTCAAAATTATGGTCCCTTTTGGGGCCCCTGTTATCATACGGCACCGGTTCTTTAGGGTACCCAAGGAGGGACCTTACTCTTGACAACTACCCAAATAGATACACCCGAAACTATCTACCTTCAAGCCCCTGTAAGTTGCCAAACCCCGACACCCTAAACCCTGAAGACCAATGTATAGGAAGAGAACCCTATGAAACTCTACAGACACCCAGAACAACCCATGCCTCAGCCGTGAACCTACCCAGACTACCCTATTCTAGGGTTTAGGGTGGTTTTGGCACAGAATGTCCGGTTTAGGATGTTTTGGTGTGCGGCTTCAGGAAATCTTGACTTCAAGGAGTTTGGGCAGTGAATCCCTCAAGACCCTACCAGAAGCTCCCCCTGCAGTAGGGTAGAACCCCCTAGGATTCGTAGATAGTGGAGCCACTTCAGGTGCTCTAAACGCCCGAAGGTTTCGACCCTCAGCCTGCCGTAAAGCCTAAACCTTGCGCCGTAAGTGCCTTAACTCATACACGGGATCTGCGAGTGGGCCCTTTTCCTTATTTGTGGTCGTAGGTCCCTGAGAAGTTGAACGTTGAACAATATCCTAAAAGGGAACCCTGTTTTTCCTACGCTACTGCGGATCCTAGCCAACCCCAAAGGAGTCCTAACGGCAAGCCGGCAAAGACGAGGTGGCCTTCTCTGCTGCCGCCTCGGCTTGCGAGAAAGGCCGCCGCTGGGAGTGGGCGCTGGAGATGCTGCGGCCCCTTGGATGGATTCACACACGAGGGTCCATGACGGGTTTCATGCGGTGATCAATTTGGGTTCTATGTCGGTGCGAAACATCAGATTCTAGAAGGGTTTTGTTGCGATTCTTTTTGCAATCGTAGTGTGCTGCGTTTAGGCCTATTTGCGGTTTCGGGTTCTAGTCTTTTGAGGTTCAGGCATATACGCTTTTGTTTGAAGGCGGCTTTGGTCTCAAGCGTCCGCTAGGCCTTAGTGTTTCCGGGCTTCCTTCGCCTTAAGTTAAACCAAACTACGATAACCTACTTTTGTGTAGGTTGTTTGTAATAGTTTGTAAACATTGTAAACCTCAATTTCGAATTTATAGCAGTTTTGAAGTATACCCTACACTACACCGTGCAACGAGGGGTTTAGGCTTCGGGCTTTCTTGGGGTTTGCTGCTCCAGGCTGTCAAAGTCCGGGTTTTACGATTTGATGTTTAATATCTGCGATATTTAGGGTTCAGGGTGTGCTTGCAGTTTTATGTGGACTGTTCTTCAGATTGCGTTAGCCTGTTGAGCTGTGCAAGCACGATGGTTAGGGATTTGGGAATTGATGGTGGCCTGCCCTACCCCTGATAATCGCCCAGACAAGCCCTGCGACTTCTGTATGTAATTTGCCTAACAGATCCCCAAAGCCTCAATCTTTGATTCTTGAAGCCTTGCTGCCGATTTTCTAGCCTCAAGTGCACCTTGCATTTGCGAGTCCATGGCGTCACAGCAGCCGAGGGAACCAGAGCTTCCACGGTTGAGGGGTGAGCCAAGGCTCTTAGACGTTGGTACATCGACACGAGATTATGGCCGCTTGTGTCACATTTAGGGCTAGGTTTACAGCCTTGAGATCTTCGACTCGATGTAGGGCTTGCGGTTTTAGGGGGGGGTGTCTCGTGGAAAACCACAACCCTTTCGGATTTCTAAACAGACTTTGCCATGACTCTATACCAGCTATGTCGTAGTATCTTACGGACAAGACCACGGTTTGGGACACCCTCCTGCCCGAGGATTATGGACCGCAGCGACGTTCTGCCCAATTTTGTCACGTATGGTGCAGCCGCTTGCTCAGACATCGTTTCATGGCTTTCGAGGTTCCATGGAGCTATGGCAAGTTGCGACAGAAGAAATAAGATTTTCGTTGTTTATCTTTTTGGGTCGCAAAGCTGCACTAAAGCGCCCATAGTATAATTCTAACAGGGAGCCCGCAAAATGGTTACTAAGGCCCCTACACTAGCAAGATCGCTTAAACAGCTGAACCCACAAATTCCAGCCGAAGTTTCGTCGGAGCCCCCGAACTCGGGCCAAGAGTTCTCGTGTGCTGAAACCTTCCGACACCTTGAACCCCGGATTTTGGTCGATAGCTCTTTCGAGACAAGCCAGAGGGCCTTGAAAACGAGTTCGGAGAGAACATCTTCGAAAACCACGCGATGAAGACTTGAAGAGGATTTGGGCCACAGGCTTCTTTCAAACCTCAGTTTTGGGAACAAGGTCCAAGTCGTAGTTCGAGCCAATATTTGAAAGTGGAAGCACGGACGCGGGCCAAAACTGGCAAACCCGGAAGCCTTCATCCACTAGATGCCAAAACCCATGACATGGTGCAGTCCCAGAGCCCAGATCCTAAACATCCGAAAAACACTCGTACATCCCACCCTAGAAACCCAAGTCGAGAAAGAGAGAGAGAGAGAGAGAGAGAGAGAGAGAGAGAGAGAAAGAGAGAGATGATGGAGGAAGCCAATGCACCAAGTTTGAGGCTTGAAAGACTTCTTCCGCAGATCAGGTGATCAGCGCCTGTGAAAAAGGCCTCGAGTGGCAACGCGCTGTTGCCCTGCCCTGTGGCAGAAAATTAACCTGAAACCCTGGTCCTTGGCTGTAGGTCTTGGCATTCACTGCGATTTCTGAGCCCAGTACCTCTGCACATGTCGCAGATATCGCGGCTTCGAGTGATTACATAAACCTTACACTGACACCCCAATATAGAAGTACTTCTATATTGGAGTTTCCGAAAATAGGAGACCCTAATATAGTAATCATCCTGAAAAGTAGGATCCTTCTTGTAAGGACCCCAAAATAATAAGGGTACTCCTAATTTTCGGAAACTCTAACCCTAAACCCTTTTTAGAACCCTTATAGATCCGTTTAAGGAACCCTTAAAGAATCCCCTTAAGGGTACCCCTAATCTTCGGAAACTCCCTTTATTTATAGGAGCTCAAGAGCATAGCTGGTAGCGGATCGGACATCGCTTCCTGGACCGTCTTGATTTAGGGTTTAGGGTTTTAGGGTTTAGGGCTTAGGGTTTTAGGGGTTTAGGGTCTAGGGGTTTAAGGTTAAGGGCTTTAGGGTTTCAGGCTTTAGGGTTTAGGGTTTAATTAGGGTTCTGGACCCCTGTTGACTTTACCCATAGGCTCCGTAGTAGTTTTTTGGCTGAATATTTAGGATCCTGAAAAGAAATCCCAAATCCCCAAAAGGAGCTACTACGGTTGATGATATAAATCCTGCATTACCCATGATAAGGAATGTACCATTGTTCTCATAGTTTAGGGTCCTTAAGGTCATGCAGGATTTATATCAAGCAACAGTATGGAGCCTCTCGGTAGTTACTCCAGTTATCACAGTTTCTTATTGTTAGGGTCCTGGTCTTGTTCACAGGGGTTTCCTAGAGGCGAAGCCTGTGATGACCAAGGGTCACTGGTAATCCCGTGAGATTGCCCATCTCACAACCTTAGGCGATCACCTGTCTGATTCCGTTTGTTAGGGTAGATGGTTCGCAAAATACCGGTGGTTTGTGTCTTGTGACCGCGGCATTTTATGGACAGGGTGCCCAAAAACAACTGGATGCGCTTCCGCTTCCTCCGATTTCGACCCATCTTCAAACGGTTAAACATAGCCATAAACTCCATAGTATGCTGTAGGATTCTATATATGAACCCCAAACAGGAACCACGATGCAGCCTCTAGGTAGAGCTAGTCTTGCGGCATTGACAAGTAAAGTTTCGGGCCCCAAGCCCTTAACTGTTAACCAGAGACGGCTTAGCTTTCACGGCATCAACAGCTCAAGAACGGAAATCCCCGAACAAGATTTTAAAGCCTTACCGTAACCTTGTAGTAACCTCGTGGTAACCTTGATTAAAAGCTCTAGTAACCCTAAAGCCACAATGCAGGTTAACGGACATGCAAGACAACAAGGCCAGCTCCTTTCCCAAAGCATCGGAGAGCTTTAAAGCCGCATTCTGGTCAGGGACCAATTGGGAGTTTCTGAAAATAGGGGATCCTGATATAGTACCCCTAAATAGTAGGATCCAAATTATTAGGACTCCCAAAATGAGGTACCCCTGTTTTGCGGAAACTCCTAATTGAGGCCCTGAGGTTGGAGGCCCTGAGGTCGAAGGAGATCCGTTCTTTACCTATAGTCTCCATTGTAGTTCTTGTTTGGGGTTACCTTTTAGGATCCTTAGTACAAAATTGGCTAGGCCAAAAAGCGGAACTACAATGGAGACTATAGGTTGGGTTAGTTTGTGGGTTCAGGGTTTACGGTTTAGGGCTTTCTGTCAAATAAGTGGAGGTTTCTTCCGACCAGCTTCGGTTTAGGGTTTTGGGTTTTGGATTTTGACACGTTGAGGTGGCTAGGATCGAGCTCTTGCGTGTAAAGACTCACTTCCTAAGCCCCGTTGGAGCAGGGTTTGGGATGTTTATCCTGACTACTGCTCTTAACTCCCACGGTTGAGGGTGATGCTTTGCATGTGGCTGTGTTGTTTTGCCAGCATGCTGGCCACTACGACTTCTGCTGTCACTTCCACTGCAGCTACCAGCCACCTCGATCACTATCACATCGACGACGATTAATGCTAACTACTACGACTAAGTACTGCGCTGCTGCTACTACTACTACTACTACTACTACTACTACTACTACTAAAACTAATGACAACCTGGAATCCACAGCCTGAGCAATCCAGCCCATCGAGGTCTACCCCAACACCGTGTGCTTCAACGCTGCCATCAGTGCCTGTGAGAAATGCGCGCAGGCATCTTTCCCTTATGAAGTGGAGACTGATTTCGGGCCGTGATTTGTCGCAGTGGTGTTCATGAACCGGTCTAGCATTGACTCAACCGGCATTTATCCCATAATTTTCTCCGGACCTTGTGCGACCCGAAACCCCGAACCATTGCAAGCCAGACAAACACAGTAAGCCCCATTATATAACCCCGATTATAAACCCTGAAAGCCGCAAAGCAGGCCGATGTGGCTTTGAAGCTCTTCCGGTACATGCAAGATCGGGGCCCACGCGCTTCGGCCAAGTGAGCAGGGGTACGTATCCTGAATTTTCAGTTCTAGGATTTTCATCAAGGGTTTGGGGGTTTCGCAGTTTAGGAGTCAGGCTTGGGTTTCCAGGCCGAAAAGCCCGAAAGCCTGAAATTCAAAAAGCCCCAAGTCAAGCCCCAACCTGGCACGCGACTAAAAGGATGGGGCGACTGAGTAATCCCTAAGGGTCCATGTCCCGAGATACATGAGCCCCAAAGTACTTATATGGGGACTCTATTAAGGCCAATGTATATACTATATGAGTACATGGACCCTTAGGGAATAGGGTGAACAGTAAAATAGCCGTACTGGCAGCTCATCCTTCGTACGGCTGGTAGACATGTGTAAGAGCCTACAAAAATGTAGGTTCTGGTAGTGCTGTAATATAGGAGCGCCGAAAATTACTGAGACTATTCCGTCGGGATCCTTAAGATGGAACTTTACGAAAGGTGCGCCAAGCCGTATTCTCATTTTTCAGGCCCATGCATTATCACACCCGCCCAGGTCCCGACGTCATCAGCCTGAATGCCGTCACCAGTGCCTGCGAAAAAGCGCGGCGCTGGCAGGAGGTGCGGCAGCTTTGCGTAGAGAATCCATATACCAAGTTCGTATATCCTTAGGCCTTGAAGGGATCCCAATATGGGAGTTTCCGGAAATTACGGGTACCTTGTTTTGGTGATCCTTGTAATAAGGATCCTACTATTTAGGGTACTATATTAGGGTCCCCTATTTTCGGAAACTCCCATATAGATACCACTTCACGGGCTGATATGTGAAAAAAACTGTACTTACATTGGTGGAGCCTTCAGGTAAGCATTAAATAAATTAACATGGAACTTTTTGAGGCTGCGAGTGTTTGGACCTTTCTCCTTGCTTAAAACTTGCATGCTGAGTCCATGGACGGTCGGATCCCATAAACAAGGTGCTTCAGGGTTTTGGTTTGAGGGTTTGTGGTGCTCGTTTCAGATTGGGGCTTTTGTTTCTAGGCTCTGAGTGCTAGGAGTAGGTTTCAGGGTTTGGAGTTTGGGGTGTAGGGAGTTTGGGGCAGCAGGGCTTGATGTGTCGGGTTGAATGCAGAACTCTCAGCATGTTTCAGTTTAGGGCCTCTGCATCTCAATCGTGTTTTGTGTCTTTGGAAACATGGGGCTGGTAGTTTGCAATGTATCTACCCAAAGGCCCCAAAGAAGTTCCTTTTTGGGGTCCATACACAGAATCCTATAAGGTAATCTCAAAAAGGAACTACTTTGGGGCCTATGGGTAAGCAGCCCACTATCGAGCACCATTGTGGCATGCGGCACCCCCAGACGCTACATCCTAACACGTTCTCCGATTCCCTGCAGCTTCGCATCTTCTGCGTCAGGCCTTCAGCGTCGTATCACATACAATTCATATACCTTAACCTACCAAAACCTGCTTTTTTGTAGGGTCACTATACATTCAATATGAGGGTTTCTAATAAGAACCTACAAAAAAGTAGGGTTTGGTAGTTTCAGGTATGTATAAATCCGACACCCCATGGAGCTCAAACCCATCGTCCACCCTGCAACGCTAGATCCCTAGAGCCGCGTTTAAGCCGATAGGCAAGCTTCACAAGATGAAGCCTGAACATACCCAGGGGCCCCAAAGTAGTTCCTTTTTGGAGTTCCCCTACAGGATTCTATACATGAACCCCAAAACGGAACTACTTTGGGGCCTTAGGGTAATCCACAGACCAGGCATGCAGACCTTCATGAAGCCCTTGTGCGGCCCTTCTTGGGGCTTCGGGTTTTGGGTCCCCTTCTGTAATCCCTGGAACCATACAGAACCCCAAAAGGCCAACAAGGCCCCAAAAACACCACATCCCAAGGACCCCGAAATTCCCCCAAATAACCCTAAACCTTAAACCCTAAACCCCTAAACCCCTGAACCCCTCAACCCTAATGCCCTAAACCCCAACACCCTCTAAACCTTATAAAGCCTAAAGAAGCCCAAAAGCCCTAGAGTCCGCGATCCCAACACAGGCTTTGGCTCTGCTCAGTTTGCCGAACAGCGGGTGCCTTTCTTGCGACGTTTCAGGTGTCGGTTTCGTATCAAAGGTTCAGGGTGTGGGTTTAATTGGAGGGTTTACAGTAGGGTCTGGCGTTAAACATTTCGTTCATAGTTTCCTTAATCGCGGTTTAGGGTTTAGCGTCTCCGGGTGTATAAGGGCTCGGTGCAGAATTTGGGTATGTCATGCGCGGGGAGCAGCTGGTCGTCCACTTGCTGTCTCTGGTGGGGGTGGCCGGGATGCTATGATGTTCAAAGGGTGTTCTGTTAGCGTTGTCATACGGTTCTCTACGGGTCTTCTGAACTTGTCAGCTTGTGAGTCTTCCTCGAGAAACTGATCCGTTTTTGCCAATTTGCAGCATTCACACTTACGGTCTCAGTGCTTGTGGGATTTGAGCGTGAGGTGCTGTTGGGCTTTTGGAGTTTGACAGTTCACTTCGGCTGTATAGAGCTTAGTCAAGTGTCGCAGCGAGTCTTTCCAGCTGCTGTTGTAGGGGGATTGGTACATTGAAGGTTTCTGAAGCCCATGTCCTGTAGGACTCTTGACTACCGACGTGCGGCATTCCGCGGAAGGTTTCGGAGTTCTTCTGGTTGGTCAAAGAAGTTAGTGTGAACAGGGCGACGACGATGCTGGTGATCACGATGGGGGTGACGACTGTGCTGTGAACGCTTCGTATTGTAATCGGGCCAGCTTGCCTTTGCGGCTGCAGCTGCGAAGACCTGCTTGGCATAACTTCTGTGCCTTGGCAAACTGAACACTTGATGCTGCGCCCCACACAATCCCAAAGGGTCCAAAGTACCGATTTAGTAGAATGTAGGGTTTCCATATTAGGAATTAGTACTATGATTTAGGGAAAATCCCCCATCAAAGTACGTAGGACCCTTTGGGAATGCCTAGGGGTCAAAGGTGGGAATGCTGCCGCCTGTACCAAGTGAGTCGCTTTGGTTGGATCACGAGCCCTTCACACCGCGGCCCGTCGTTGGGCCTTTCGTCAATCTTGCCACATTTTGTTGGCCTGAACAATTATGCTTATACTAGTTTTTTTTTTTTTTTGGGGGGGGGGGTCCTTACTATAGTTACGGTATGATGGGCCCCAAAACCCTATTCTAGCTATAAAAAGGCCCCTGTAGTAGTCTTGGGTGAGCCCTGGCTCTGGAGACGCGGGAACAGCAGAACAAGCAGCGTTTGAATGATGAAAAAGCACATTTTCCGTGCTTCTGGTTCCGGATTATTCACAAAGATAGCTACTGTAAAAGTTATAAGTTGTATGTGTCACAACCACAAGATAGTTACTGTAAAGACTTATAAGTTATAAGTGTCAGAACCACAAGATAGGTTACTGTAAAGAATTTTAAGTTATACGTGCCATAACCACAAGATCCCTCTGAGGGTGCTAATAACTCTACTGAATACAACTTGCCAAGTCCACGACTCTCCAAGTGGAGCATAGAAACAGGATATCTTCCGATGTCGTAAGCTCGAAAGCTTCGGACCCGTAGCTAACTCCGTTTAGCAGGACCTCCCAAGTGCCTCTTAATAGAGCCCTTATGGCCTTTAATTAATTGTGGGTATTGAGGGTATATTAGAGGGTAGTGTGGGGGATCTAGGCAAGGGTTTAGGGTTGGGATTTAAGGTCTCATCTTCTACTACTGGCTCTTGATTCCTGAAGACCCTGAAGACGCCAGTGAACCAGTGCTTCCTCTGCAAAGTGCACACCCTACAAACCCTTCTGGCAGTCTGGCACTCTCTCCGCAGCAAGTTCGCAGGTTCGGTCCGCAAGTGATCACCTACAACGCTGCCATCAGCGCTTGCGAGAAATGCCAGGGGCCCAAGTGATTGTGCCGTGAAAGCCGGGGGGAGGATGACGTAGTGGCACAGACTTCCTTAGAGGTTACCCAGGGCCCCAAAGTAGTTCTTGTTTGGAGTTATACCCTATAGGATTCTATATATGAACCCCAAAAAGGAATTACTTTGGGGCCTTTGGGTAAGCGCACGAGCAAGTGGGTAGTCTCCGGTCAAAGAGTATTCCCGCAATCGCTACACCCCGAGTGCCCTACAAGCGATTCAGACCCCAAAGGCTTGGACTTCATTCAAACAAAACCCTAAGGGTCCATGTACTCATATAGTATATACATTGGCCTTAAGGTAGTCCCTATATAGGTACTTTGGGGCTCATGTATCTCTATATGGGGACATGGACCCTTAGGGAAAACTCATCGCTCGCATCAGCATATTCGGTATCTTAGGCTCTTCGGTAAGCACACAAAGCTGAAAGGAGGCAGGCGGGCTCCTCCCCGCGCCCAAGAGACGAAGTCTTAAGTTAGAAATCCTACAGTTATAGTCAGAAACCGCAGCAGCCCAGCTCATTATTTGAGATTTGAATCCGTGTCTTTAAGTACAAAGTCATCTATCTAACCCGAAACCGCTACACCTAAACGCCTCTCAAACCTCCTGGGCCTTCTCAACTCACCGGATCGACACACCAAGCCCCGACACCCGAAACCCTCGGCCCTGAACAACACGCAAGGCCTTGAGTGGCAGTGGGCGCTGCATTTGTTCAGCACCATGCCGGAGGCGAAGTCTTATATCTCAACCCCGAAACCCTCAACCCTTAACCTTAAACCCTAAACCCTCAACCTTAAACCCGAAACCCTCAACCCTAAACCTTAAACTCTGCTGGAAAAGGGGCTATTGCACTTTAATAATTTAAAAACCAAAAACCCTTAAACCCTAAACCCTCAACCTTAAACCCGAAACTCTCAACCCTAGCTCCGAACCCTACATGGGTGGTTGTCAAAAGGAGGGTCCCTTTTTGGGGCCCCTAGTAGAATACGGCACCTAATATTTAGGGTACCCAAAGAGGGACCCTAGTTTTGCCAACTGCCCACATGTTAAACCCTGAATCCTCCACACTACAGTATGAGGCTTCGGGCCTTTGGATCTATAGGGTTGATTGGAGGTGGAGAGAGGCGTCAAAAGGGCGGGCTCTTGTGCTTTCCCCAAAGGGCCCCAAAGTAGTTCCTTTTTGGGGTTCATATATAGAATCCCACAGGGCACCTCCAAAAAGGACCTACTTTGGGGCCCCTGGGTAGAGCCAAGGAAATGAGGTTTACCCTAAACCCTAAACCACTAAACCCTAAGCCCCTAACCCCTAAGCCCCTAACCCCTAAACCCCTAAGCCCCTAAGCCCTAAACCCCTAAACCCCTAAGCCCTAAACCCTTCGGGTTTTTGGGTCGAGGCTTCGGGTTCCGATTTTATGATTCAGCCCTTGGCCTGAACCCTAAACCCTGCCAGGACCGCCCGAGCGCCTCTTAATAGAGCGTAGGACCTAGAGTAGGCCCTTATTCCCTTTTTGGGGGTTCAGGTTCCCTTATAAGCCCCTTTAAACTAAAAAGGGCACCCCTTTTATTCCTAGGCTACTCTTGGGTCTAGTAATAGAGCCCGTATGGCCCGAAAAATAGTGGGTATTGAGGGTATATTAGAGGGTAGTTGGGGCGGTCTGGGTAAGGGTTTAGGCTTGGGATTTAAAGTCTCATCTTCTACAAGTACTAATAGCGCCCTTATGGCCCTTATTAGTGGGTATTGAGGGTATATTAGAGGAGAGTTGGGGGGTCTAGGTGAACCCTAAACCCTAAACCCTAAACCCCTAAACCCTAAACCCCTAAACCCTAAACCCTAAACCCCTAAACCCTAAAATCTAAACCCTAAACCATTCAGCTGTCTGGTAGGTTTTGAAGCGACAGGGAAACCCAGATCAGCCCCCCAGTCTGTTGCTCTAGCGGTCATCTTAGCTTAGACGACTGAAGCCTTATGGGGCGTAATATCGGGGCCTTAACTATAATTATAAGTTACAAATTCTAATATGATGTTGGGGAGTCCTTGTTATGATTTTGGCAACCCCGAAACCTATTCTAATTATTTAGACCCCTATAGAGTACTTCGTCCGTAGACTTCAGTTCGCCTTTATCTTCCCACGCGGCCGACCGCCGATGCAAGTGCGTGTGTGGCTGCACATAGCCATGTAATTGGGCCATTCAAGCGCAGTGCACGAACATCCATGAAATGTGTGCAGGCCAGCAGCCAGTCGAACTCGAAGTTTAGGGTTTAGGGGTTTAGGGTTTAGGGTCGACCTGACAAAGGCACTTGATGTTTGGCCACGCTTCAGATAAAGCGAAGGTGCCTCACGACCGCGCTGCTGTTCTTCCTAGTTGACATGCCCGAGTCAAGTGCGCATCTGCCCAGACCCCCGGGAGGATCTAGAAAGTAGATCCCCTAATTTGGGGCCCTAAACTTCTAAGGGTACTTTATAGGAGCCCCCATTAAGGGATCTACTTTTTGGATCCTTCCGGGGGTCTGGGTGCCTGGAGGACTTCTGCACCGAGGTGCTAGCCGGCAGGGCATCAAACCCTTGACTTCAGCACCCTGAACCCCTTAAGCCCGAAATGTTCTTACCCATAGGTCCCATAGTAGTTCCTGCTTGGGATTGCCATATTGGCTTCTACATATGAACCCCAAAACAGGAACTACTATGGGGCCGATAGACCCCAGTCCAAAAACGCCTACAACCCCAGGAGCTGCCACGTTTTAGGGTTTAGGGTCTAGGGTTTAGGGGTTTAGGGTTTTAGGGTTTTGGGTTTAGGGTTTAGGGAGCTGCAGAGGTACTTAAAGGATCATGGGACTTAGTAACTAGGGTTATAATTAGGGTAACTATACTTATAACCCCAATTAGGGTACTTATAACCTTACTTACTAAGTCCCATGATCCTCCAAGTAGGCCTTGATCGATGATGTTGTATCGGATGGAGAATGAGCTTGACACGTCATGCGGTAGCATCAGAGAGGGTTTAGGGTCTATCGGGCCTAGGGAGACTGTTGCGGTTTCGGTTTCAGCTTCGTGACTTGTTGGATCCCAACCATACTTGTGGTTTCTCAGCTATCACGCGCGAAAGAGCCTCCTCTTGCATCTACTTGGCTTATCTTTCCGTGATCAGCTGCCTGGCTGAGGTTCCTCGGTCCCTGATGTAAGCTTGGCGTCAGAGAACTGCTGAGCCTGCACCGGTTGGTATGGGAGTTTCCGAAAATGAGGGGTACCTAATTCAAGGGTCATAAGTCATAAGGATCCTACTATTCAGGGTGCTATATTACCCAGGGGCCCAAAGTAGTTCCTTTTTGGAGTTACCGTATAGGATTCTATATATGGGTAAGGTAGGGTTCCCTATGTTCGGAAACTCCCGTATGGGGAACCCGGTAGCCAGAGCCTTCTCGACTGCACCTGCAGACGGACAATGGGTGTTCAAAAAGATCTTTGAGCATCCCTAATCTCTGCAACTCTAAACCCTGAGTTAAACCCTAAATCCTAAGCCCTACATCCTAAACCCAACTTATTAAAACAAATACAAAGCTAAGACACAACAAAAACTGAACCAAACCTTTAAGCATTTAAAGCCCTGAAGTAGTTCCTTTTTGGGGTTCATACACAGAATCCCATAAGGTAATCTCAAAAAGGAACTACTTTGGGGCCCCTGGGTAAGCATTTAAAGCCCTGAAAGGCGAGACTGACACCCGACGTGATCAGCCTGAACGCTGCCATCAGCGCCGCAGAGAAGGCTGGCATCTTCCTTGCAGGGCTTGGGGTTTCGCGTGTAGGGAGTACTATTGCTATTACTGTGACCATTACTATTATATACAAATTCGTCAACACGAGCACTTGGTGCTGGGCTAACTTGGGGGAGCTTGAGCGACATTAAGGGTTCATGTGGTCTCACAGTGTGGCCATGACTGTTCAAGGGTAGACTTGCAATAGTATTCTAGGCAGCCTCTCAAACTACCATGTGTACTCCACCGCCAGCCAGCTTCGTCTGTAAGACTGGAAACATGTACTTGGCATCCAAAGTCCGCTGCTGAGACTTGTAGCTTTATGGATTCGGGGTCGCTAACCATTGGCCTACTTCCGATGCACTTAGAAGTAACATTTCCCTGCTGTCCTGCCCCAACCATGCCAGACATCTCCTCAGCTGTGCCCAGACAGTCATTTTAGGACCTAAGGCCTAAGGATTAAATAAGCATCCGAAGGATCCGAAAGGCGCCATGACGGAGGATAGGTCCAACCAGGGTTCAAACATCTGCGGCCGGAATTAGCAATATAAATGCAACATGAAAACGTTTAAACCCTAGACCCTGAACTCAATCCCAGAACCCTGTAACCCCGAAAGGCCTCAACACCAAACCCTAAAGACTCTACAATCCCGCGTGCCTTGCCTATAGTCTCCATTGTCGTTCCTGTTTTTGGGTTTAACCAATTTTTTACTAAGGCAGGGATCCCAAAAGGTAACCCCAGAAAGGAACTACGATGGAGACTATAGGTAGTATCCGAGTGAGAGGTGGGGAAGTGGCAGATTGCTCTGGCCTTGCTGTTTGGGCGACTGTTTCGCATCTGACGTTCGGGTTTAGGGTTTATAGTAGGCCTTGTAGGGTTTAGAGTTTAGGGTTTAGGGTTTAGGCTTTTAGGGTTTTAGGGTTTAGGGATCTGGGCTTAGGGTTTTAGGGCTTTAGGGTTTAGGGGTCGGGGCTGAATCCTAGACGGGGATGTTCTGGACTTGTGGGATCGGAGGTGATGGCTCCGAGATGGGGAGTCGCTGAGTATGTGTGGTTGTTAAAATTAGGGTCCCTTTTTGGGTCCTTATTATAATGCGGCCCCTAATATATAAGGTACCCAAAAAGGGACGATCATTTTGACAACCACCCATGTGTACATGTAAGGGTCAACGGGTGTTTGCAGTGGTTTCAATGTGTTAGAGAGGGTGCTGAACAACGGGGGTCCTTTTCGGTTAGGGTGGGCTGTCCGAAAATATGGAGACGATATATATATATATATATATATATATAGAGATAGATATTTATTTATTTATTTATTTATACTTATATCTATATTTATATTTATATATGTGTGTGTTCTATCGCAAGCCTCCGACAGGTTCAAAAGTACAGATGGTAGAACAGAAAATTGCATAGTGTACAGGGCCGTAGCAGTAGCATGGACCCAGGATGATGGCATCCACTGCATTCAGGATTTCCCGCAACACGCGTGCCGCGGCTGTCTTATGCAAAACCCAGAGGGTCCAAGTACCCAAGTAGTAGGGTTTCGGGTCCCCAAAATCCATACTCGGACCGTGAAACCCTACTATTTGGGTACTTGGACCCTTAGGGAAACTTCTTGACACCATAAATGCCGAGTTGAACGTCCTTATGGCCTTTGAGCGCAGTGAACCGGAGCCTGGGGAGGAGAGAATAGTGAGATACGGTTGATGATATAAATCCTGCATTACCCACAATAAGGAATGCACCCTTATTCCTATATAAGGTAATGCAGGATTTATATCATCAACCAGTATGTCCGTGAGGAGGTGAAGATTGACAAAACGTCATCTCTTGGCTCCAGAGTTGGCACTTCTGGGTCCACCAACGGCGGTGCATTGTTCAATCAAGATCTGATCTGCTTTGTCCCTTCCTGGCCTGGACCCCCTAAACCCCGTAACCCGTCAACCCTAAATCCCTAAACCCTAACCCCCTAAACCCCTAAACCCCTAAACCCCTAAACCCTAAACCCCTAAACCCCTAAACCCTAAACCCCTAAACCCCTAAACCCCTATACCCTAAACCCCTAACCCTAAACCCACCCTCCGACCCGGTTCCTGGGAATTCGCCCCTTCTCAGAAGCTGCCCGGAGTTGTCTTGGCCTCCTTAGGGGGTTTAGGGTTTAGGATTTAGGGTTTAGGGTTTAGGGAATTGGGGAATTAGGGTTTAGGAGTCTACTTGGAGAGTCGGGGGACTTAGTAACTGGCTGTTTTAGGGACTTATAAGTACCACAACCCCGATTAGGGTCCCCTTTAGGGTACTTATAAGTCTACTTACTAGCTACTTGCTAAGTCCCCCGACCCCCCCAAGTAGAAGCCCAAATGTTTCCGAAACGTAGGGTAACTTATTATGGGGTCCTTATATTAAGGATCCTACTACTTAAGCTGCAAATTTTAGGGTCCCCTATCTTCGGAAACTCCCAAATGAATACCAATACTACTCCTTTGGCTGCCCTGTTATACTTAAAGACTTCGAATATCTGGGAGTTTACTTACAGTGCCATGTACGCCAGAAGCTTTTCTAGCGCACTGGCTCAGGCCCCATCTTGGGATTTCGAGCAGGGGGTCGGCCCCCCAACAAGAGCTTAAACAGTGTGATGCCAAAGCAGCCTAATTAAGCCATCAACTCTAAAGCACGATGTGTAGGATCCAGAGGGATTGGGGGTGTATGGTTTGGGGTTTATTGATTCGGCTTACACTTCATAGAGTCTACAGGTTTTGTAGGGTTCAAGGCTAGTGTTTGAGGAGCTTTGTAAAACCCTAAACTCCCCCTCAACCCTAAATCCCGAAATTGAAGTTTTCAATCGCCAAACCGACAAGCAAACCCCTAAACCCTAAACCCCAACCCTGAACCTCGAACGTAAACCCTGAACCTCTAAACCCGAAACCCAAAGGATCCGGACCCTGCCGACTCTGAAGCTGCTCTCCAAGAGGGTAGGGTAGACGACCCTATAAACCCGCTCAAGGTTTGTAATTTGGGTGGGAGGGCACGCGTTGCAGCTCATGCGCCGACCCCACGTCATGGAGGGGTCGAAAGCGCACTCGCAGCGAAATCCCTAAACCTGAAACCCTAAACCCTAGACCTTAAACCTTAAACCCTAAACCCTAAACCCTAAACCTTAAACCTTAAACCCTAAACCCTAAACCCTAAACCTTAAACCCTAAACCCTAACCGAGGCACGGCTGGCATCCTCCACCCAACACGATCAGCCCGGCCCTCGGATCGAGCAAACCTGCGGAACACTATGATTATACAGGGAACTCCAGAAAGTTGGAATATGGTTTCATGGTAGGATCCCCTGTAATTTACCTTAAAGGGGTTACGATAATGATATTCCAACTTTCTGGCTTCTACTGTAGGGTTTAGGGGGTCTTAGGGTTTAGGGTTTAGGGCTTAGGCGTTAGGGGTTTAGGGCTTAGGGCTTAGGGTTTAGGGTACCGTAATATAATTAGGGACACAAAAAGCGCATAAGCATAGACATTTCATGGGGATATCCTGCCTTATTGGGCTTCTTGGTTACGTGTTTTTTTGGGGGCCCTCTATAAGTATAAACTATAAGCCCTCAAGCCCGCAACGCCACCGTAACACTTATAACCTGAAGCCTAATCTGCTAAAGCCCTGCACCCTGAAGCCTTAAGCCTTAACCCTAAATCCGAAATCCCCAAAGGCTAAAGCCTTAACCCTAATTCCTAAGTCTCACGAAAGCCTAAAGGCTTAGCTTCAAATGCTAAATCTTCAATCCCTAAAAGCCTAAAGCCCCAACCGACCTCAATCGTATAGTGATTTCAGAAAGTTGGAACATGGATGTGGCATAATTCGTGCGAGGATCCCCTAATGATGTTCCCCTGAACCCTAAACCCTAAATTCCAAATCCTGTAACACTTTCTGGCGCATACATTACAACTCAATCCGAAGCGTTTGCAGGCTTCTGTTTCCGTTTAGAGTATGGGAGAATCTCGCAGCGGGGTTGACGAAGTCAGGAAGCAGATCCTAAAGGGTTTAGGGTTTGGGGGCTTTGGGTGTAGGGATAAAGGGTTTAGGTTTCAGCAATAGACGTCAGCTTGACAACTTCCCACATGTAGCAACAATGATTGATGGCCATCGTGCAATTGCAATATACTCGAGGTTCTTGTTCACGCCATAATTAATTACAACCCATGAACCTTCAAGTAAGAGCCCTAATCCCTAAACCCGAGGATGCCATTATAGAACATGTAGCAAAGCTAAGGCTACAACGCCACCATCGCTGCATGCGAAAACGCTCGCCGATGGCAGCTCGCTCTTCATCTCTTTCACGGTCTTCGCCGGGGGCCCGGCAAGTTTCAGACTGTTCCGGTTTATGCTTGCGGTATAGCTTCCCTTCCAGACACCATTACAGATTTTCCTTTTGGGGCTCCTAGGTTGAAGGAATTCGGACTTTGAACTTTGTGTTTTCTGTTGGAACTCAGGCACAAGGCGTGGGGCTGTGGGGTTTTAAGATCTTGAATTCAGGCGACATCAACACTTTTATTTTGCGTTAGGGGTGCAGCGGTAGCAGCAGCAGTAGTAGCAGTAGTAGTAGTAGTAGTAGTAGTAGTAGGAGTCGTAGTAGTAGGAGTCGTAGTAGTAGGAGTCGTAGTCGTAGTCGTAGTCGTAGTCGTAGTCGTAGTAGTAGTAGTAGTTGCAGTTGTAGTAGAAGTAGTAGTAGCAGTAGTAGCAGTAGTAGTAGTAGTAGTAGTAGTAGTAGTAGTAGTAGGAGTCGTAGTAGTAGGAGTCGTAGTAGTCGTAGTCGTAGTCGTAGTCGTAGTCGTAGTCGTAGTAGTCGTAGTAGTAGTAGTAGTAGTAGTAGTAGTAGTAGTAGTAGTAGTAGTAGTAGTAGTAGTAGTAGTAGTAGTTGCAGTTGTATTAGAAGTAGTAGTAGCAGTAGCAGTAGTAGTAGTAGAAGTAGAAGTAGAAGTAGAAGTAGAAGTAGTAGTAGTAGTAGTAGTAGTAGTAGTAGTAGTAGTAGTAGTAGTAGTAGTAGGTAGTAGAAGTAGAAGAAGAAGTAGTAGTAGGAGTAGGACTAGGAGTGGGAGTAGAAGGGTAGAAGAGTAGCAGTAGCAGGATTGGTCGTGCTGGTGTTAGTGTTGGTGGTGGTGGTGGTGGTAGTAGTGGCAGCAGCATCAGCACCAGCAGCAGCGGCAGTGGTAGCAGTAGTGTTGGCCGTTGCCACTACCCCTAGTAGCACCACCACCTTTGCCCCTATCGCCACCAACACCATCACCGCCACCCGCCGCCGCCACCACCACCACCACGATGACGACGACTACTACTGCTACTGCTGTTCCTACGTACTACTAGTACTCCTCCTACGACTCCGACTCCGACTCCGACTCCTACAACTTCTACTACTACTGCTGCTGCTGCTACTACTACTACTACTACTACGACGACCACCACTAAACTCCTACTACTCCTACCGCTGCCACTGCCACTGCCAGTACCACTACCCGTCACTACCACTACTACGGCGACTACTGCTGCTGCTGCTGCTACTACTACTACTACTACTACTACTACTACTACTACTACTACTAATAATGACCAACACCACCTCACCAGACGACGACCACCACTCAGACCACGACAGCGACGACGCGGACTCATATTACTCCTGGCATGAGTGCATGTAGTTTGCATTTTCACTTCCACACTGTGCCCACGTCTTCCGGCATGTGTATGGGCTCCAGATATCTGCGCCAGGCATTTCTCCGTCGTCTGCCTCAGGTAGCTGCCGGCTTTGTAGTCGTGAAGCTCCCATGCTAGCTGGCAAGGCGAAGAAGCGCGAAATCCGTGTTTGGCTAGTCTGGTGTTACGAGCACTGTTTGCAGGAGGAGCAGGACAGTGTGCGCAAAGAGCTGACGCAGCTCGCGGCTTCTACTCCCAAGTGCAAGTTCGTGTGTCATAAGAAAGGTAGGGACTTTCTTCGCTGGCAGGAAGGCAGAGATCGAAACACACTGCTCATCGCAGACTGGAGAGAAGTAAAGCCTATTATGGAAGGAGCCAGAAGGAGCGACAGACAAAGCTTCCCTCTTTGTGTTGTTACACAAACGGAGACGGCATTTAACCGCGCATCTCGCTGGGCAGACGAACAGGGAACGGGTGAAAACATCGTGGTGACCTTGGGCTTGTCGCTTCAGGCCGCGCGGAGGTTCATAGCTCGCAACACGCAGACGGTGTACGAGCAGCCTTCCCATGAAGATGTACTACCCGTCATGCCTGTGCCCATGCAGCCTAAGATCATGGATGCCTCCTGCTGGTTGTCTCTGCCAAACCTTCTGAAGGCAATTCGCGACCCAGTACAGGCTTGTCGACTTGAAGAGTTGATCCAAGAGACCATGTGGCAGACCTACGAAGATTGAGCTGAGAAGCAAAGAGTGGTCAGCGCACTTGTAAATACCACTCGCAGCTGCTCTTGCAGCAAGTCACGCATGCACAGGTGAAGTGTGACCTGTATTTTAATTCCGTGTTTCAAAATTGGCGGAAGAATCGCCCTGCAATTCTTCTGGCCGTGACCGGCCGCGGCCCAGTTCAGGCCACACCCGTCTGCAGCTTTTATGCTTTCGCACGTAGGACCCTCGGCAGGTGTAAGCGAAGCGCAAATATAGGGGCTTGAAGACCTGACGAGACTATTCCTTATTTCCTGAATCAAGTTGACATACTGTAGATCTAGAATCAGAAGCCAGTTAACATATTGTATATCCAGAAATTCAGGCCCCTATATTCGGCTGTGAAGTTGTCATGCCCACGGTGGGAAATGTGTCCATGACCGGTAGCACTACTGTCAGCTGACAGGGTTAGTGGTCATCAGTTTTATCATGATTGACGCACGTAGCTGTCAGGAGTGTCACGCGTTTGTCGTTTTCATGTTTCCCCAACGGTTCATGTACCAGATATTACCAGATAGTATGTACTTTGGCCTCCAAGTAGCTATATAGGGGTTGCTTACTGTGTGAGTACATGTACTGTTAGGCTTTACTAGCATTTCTCACCGAAGCTATCGTTACATGCAATCTAGCAAGAACTGCACAAGAAGCAGCGTGAACACAACATCAAGAAACGGTAGCTTCGAGCTTCTACATGGTTCGCCATGGTGCAACCATATCGCTCGACTAAACTGTTGGCTCTTCTTTAGCCGCTTTAGCCCTAGGATGTTGGATTCAGGGTCTGCGTTTCACGGTTCACTTTGGGGTTTGTGTTCTGCAGCAAAAGGTTACTTTGGACACTTTTGCAATATGAGGACATGTTGGAGTGGGGCATTGAGCCTGACCCTCGGCCCAAACATGAGACCCAAAGCCCTGAGTTAACTCGTGAGCCTTTGATTGTTGGGCTGCAAACACCTGCGACTCACATCCTGAAGCCTTGATCTGCAAAAGACGAGACTTCCGGATGTCTTGCGATAAGGGCCTCCATATAACACCCTTATGAAGCCCTATGAGCCCAGAAGCCCGAAAACCAACCAAGAATCGAAACTGGCTGATTTGACGCAGATTCCGCGCAACTTCATCCAAGCCTCGCCACATACACCGTGACCATCGCTGCGTGCGAGAAGGCCTGCTACTGTTACTCTCTATTCAGACCCCTACATTAGGTCTGTTCCTAGTGATGTTTCCTTAGCTCGCAGAAGGGAGGGGCGGGGCCAGCAGCAAGAGTCTCTGAGGGTCTACTTTCGTGTTTAGCACGTAGGTCTGACAGCATTCAGGCCAGGGCTTCCCGTGGGCATCTAGCGTCTGAGCCTTTAGTGTTCGGTGCAGGAGTGCCGAGGGCAAGAGTTTAGGGTTCAGGTTCCGAAATCCCGAGGAATGTAGATTTCAGCACTTGGCACGCTGCTGGCACTGGGCACGCTGCCAGTCCTGCAAAGGCCCCTGCACCCTAAACCCTCAACCGATAGCAGAAAACCAACGTCCCAAACCCGAATGCATTCGATGCTAAGCGGCTTTCGGCCCACGAATGGTCTGCGTAATTTAAGGAGTGCGTTCATGACACATGATTAATCATGGGGGAAGGGCGCTATGCATAATACAAAATTTATACGGTTAACGGTAATGCCTTACTTGGGGTTACAAGTAGTGGTTGCTATAGTACCTTAGTTGCAATCCTGCTGGTTAAGTCCTCTGATCTTTCCAGTGGCAAACTCTGCTTGGGGTTTATTTCCCAGCCTTGACGCCAAGGCGAGGCAGTGGGAGGTTGCACTTGTGCTGAAGGACGGTGACCCGCGACACACGGGAGAGTCATACACATCGGGGTATTGTGACGGTTCAGGGTTGGCGCTTTAGGCCTTGAAGGGTCTTAGGTGGAATACCGCTGAGGGTCTGTATATGTGGCTTGCTGTTTTGAAGCTTCCAAGCCATAGGCCCTATGCTCTAGACCTTAAGAAGCCCTAAGAATTATAGTTATAGACCATCAAACCGAATCACTGATCAGAATCCCGAGACTGACCTACAGCCCCAAGCCAATTAAGACCCTTAACCCCTGAACCCTACGTTACACCCCGTAATGGGAGACCTGAAACCTGTAAGGCGCGAAACCAAGCGCATCAACACTGCATTGATGTTACCGCTTGGCTGCGTAAACCCTAAACCCAAATCCTGCTGCTACGCAAGGCGTGATCTCCTCTACAAAAGGTTGCCGCAAAGTCCAGCTGTAGTTGCACAGACACGTCGGAAATAATCGGAAGAGTTATTGGGCCGAAAAAGATATTAGGAGCCCGAATTGCAATAGTAAATAGTTCGGGGATTGGCTTGAGGTCTTTATTAATTAGAGGGATGACTACTGTACGTCAAGGCAGTTTGATTCTTAAGACCGCTATAGCGCCCTCGCCAAGAGCTTAGGGTTTCAGGGCCCCAAATCACTATGGTTTGGGGATTTAGGGTTTAGGGTGTTCATAGGGGTTTAGGGTTTAACCTTGAACCCTATCTAGGTTAAGGCTTCTGTCGAGAGAAGCTGCATGGTTCATCCGTTGGGCACCACTGCTTGGAGGATCATGGGACTTAGTAAGTAAGGTTATAAGTACCCTAATTGGGGTTATAGGTATAGTTACCCTAATTATAACCCTAGTTAGTAAGTCCCATGATCCTTTAAGTGATCTCTCTCCCAAAGATGGCCTGGGGCATGGACCTCAGAACCACCAAAGGGGCACCCATAAACCCCAAGCCCCTAACCCCCAACCCTAAACCCTAAGCCCTACCCCCCTAAAGCCTAAACCATGAATCTCCTATTCTCCTAAACCCCTACACCCCTATAAACCGTAAGCAGCGTACATCTGGAGGATGCGGCTCTGGCTTCAAAGATTCGAGGGTTCGGTCCCGAGACTCGTTGGTGGGGTTTGGGAGCGCTTTCTCAGAGTTCAGGGTGTTGGCGCTGGGGACTTAACGTCATCGATTGTAGCCATGTAGGGGTTTAGGGTTTCAGGGTTTGGGAGCAGGATTGAGAGTTTGGGGATTTCCGTTTGTCAGGACTCGGAATGTCGGGTTAGCAGATTTAAAGGAAGAACTGTGGTTTTGCAGGGCTAGCCTAAACCCTAACCTTCGGCCCAGCCTCACAAAAAGGATTTCAGGCTTATGGGTTTAGGTATCTGGGGTCAGGGACCTAGAGGTTGAAGAGTTGCGATTTCGGGCTTGCCTGGACCAGCCAGCTACCGTGTAAAACGGCCGCAACTCCATATTTGATGGCTGTATACATAATGCTTCTGTTAAGGGTACATCGCATAGTTCCTGGTAGAGTTTCAGTTGCCCCAAAAACTGTAAACCCCGGAAGAAGCCCTAAACGCTTCCACAGTCCCAAACCCGATAGCCTTTAAGCTTTAATTCTCTAGACGTTTTGTCGCTCGTACTCAAGCGAGTCAGCCCAGGTCAACGAACGAGTTTGTGGTGATGTATAACAGCGCCATCTCCGCTTGCGAAAAAGCGAGGCACACAGGGGTTAGGGATCGGGGTCGGGAGTCTATACGGTAAACTGCAAGCCCCTACACCTGCCGGGTTGATAGGTTCTGCGTTTAGGGTCTCCGGACACATGTTTTTTTCAAGCTGAGATCCGTAAATTCGTTCGACACTCGAGACTTAACAACTACAGGGCATATCTACGATTGTCGTCGATTTCTGCAACAATAATGATCACAAAATCCATCAACATCCATAAGGTGCGCAGCTTGAACTGTGAACGCAACCACCCTCGGAAGCTGTAGAATGGAGAGACAAATCCCCCAATCATACATGATCAATGATCCTAAAGCTTTGCTTTCCGCAGATTGTTATATCAGCAAGTCGATCCCGTAGCCGACACCCGAGCTCCCCCACATCCCGAAGCGTATGCGGTTGGGCATACAACTCTGAAATCCCAAACTGAACCTCGACCTTTCTACTTGGGGGATCATGCGACGGAGCGATAATTATGAGTGCTTATATCCCGCAATTACAGTACTTCTAACCTTAGTCTGCTAAGTCCCCCCAAGGGTCCATGTCCCCATATAGAGATACATGAGCCCCAAAGTACCTATATAGGGACTACTTCAAGGCCAATGTATATACGGTATGAGTACACGAACCCTTAGGTCCCATGATCCTCCAAGTAAACATGGCATGGCAAAAGGCGCTGGCAGTACTCCCTGACGCTGCTCGCGGAGCTCCGACATTCGCGGCTTCAGCCCACCATGGTGACCTACGGTGCCAAAGACGGGCTCAGGGACGGGCTAAGTACCGACATCTGTAGATATAACAAGGGCGGCCTGTCTGTGCTTCTTTCCACAGTGGTATATAATCCACCTGGACCCTCAAACCCCACGATGAAAGGCGTAGGCGCTGCCTGCATTTGTTGGGAGGTTGGTGCACGAAGCTTTGTAGCAGTATCAGAGCTACGAGGGCTTTTGGGTTTCTTAATGGACATAGGCGACATAGGATTCTATATTCTTGGGATCATAGGCACTTCTTTATGAGGGTGCTTGTTGAGGAACTGGGTCCTTTGGGTTCACGATAGTATTACGAAGGCTCATGGGATCTGCGTCTTATTCACTCACATACATACTTTGCGGAGGGAGTGCTTCTCATCATTTCGGGCTCGGCCTCGCTATCACGGAGAGGGGAAGGGGGCTTTAGCCCTAGGTTTAGGGCTTTTCATGGCTTAAGCTTTCGGGTTTAGGGTGTAGTGGCGGGAGGTGGCATCAGCTTGTGCCACCGGAAGAAGGCCTCTTATGGGGCCGCATGCCCAGGTTTAAGGGCCAGAAGGGCTCTCCATGAGGGCCCTTGGGGTTTTCGGGTATTTTGCTATCCTGTTAGGCCTCTTCTGATTCCTAAGGCACGGGTTCATTCCACCCAAACCCCAGGCACGTCGGTATAGAACGACAAATGCTGGTGTTCCCCAGGTTTAGGGCAGAGTTTGCTGGGCTCTGAGATCCTGCAGGGGCTCAGGCATTAGGACTCGCAAATGTTGCCGGTGTTTGGCATTGAGAGATTAGAGACTGGTTTACTTCGCACTGGGCCCTAAACCCTGAGGCCTCTTCCCTAAGGCGCAAATGATCAGCCCTGACCCTTAGCCGCCTGAGCACGCAAACCCCTAAAAGCCTGAGGCCCTGAAGTGCCCTAAGGCCTATGAACCTTAAATCCTTAAACCCCTAACTAAACCCTAATGCCCTAAAGCCCGAGGTCCTAAAAATCCCTTAGCCTCCCCAAAGCGTTAAAGCCCCGGAGCAGTGATTCTCCGAGCCCCAGGTGCTGCGATAACGGCTTGCAGCCGCTACACCGTCTGGGCTGCAGCTCTGGAGGCCAGCTTTCGGCGCTTCCTGCTTTTAGGGTTTCGGGTTTCAGGGTTCAGGGTTTCAGGGTTTTTGGGCTTCAGGGTTTTCGGGTTTGGGGTTTCAGGGTTCAGGATTTCAGGGTTCGGAGTTTAGGGCTTGAGGGTTCAGGGTGCTGGGTTTCAGGGTGTAGGGCTTGATTAGGGCCTGGGGTTGAAATGCACTACGATTTCGGGTGTGATACGGACAGGGCTTGGGGCTCCATCAGTCATAAGGCTTTAGGGTTTAGGGTTCTGATAAGGGATGTTATCAAAGTTTAGTGCCGAGGCAGTCGTGTCCGGTGACGTTGGGATGTGGAGCAAAGGATTCTCAAAAGTTGCTTCTCCCTCGGGTATTGTTTTTTTTTAAATGCTTGTCCTAACCGTAAGCTGTAAACTTATGGAATTATGCTCTTATACATATATATATATATATATATATTCACAAACCTATACAGGGTTGAAGGCTCCGACGGCTCGTAGTGTGAAGGGAATACAAGACCGTTGGCGCGGGGGGCGAGGGATTAGTACCCCCAAGTAAGGTACCCAAATTTTCTGAAACCTCCTAAACCCCTACCCCGAAACACACTGCAAGCCCCCCAGGATCGGCATAAAGACCGAGAGTGTCCCGAAAAGTGCGTGCCAGCATTCTAAGCTCCAAAACCCTATTCTAATTTCCAATGCCCCTTCTACTACCGCCCGATCCCGAACATGCCGAACCCACCCAAGCCTTGAATGCACAGATCCAGGTTTTGGGTTTAGGGTTTACGTATTAATTGAGCTTTAGCCTCGGTGAGCAACAATCTCCTCTTATTGTCTGTAGTTGTACTACGTACCCTCTATTGTAACACTGTAAACCTATAAAACTTCTGTAACAAAAAATCTTAGAAAGCCTATTGTAGCTGTTCCGGCCCCCAAGCCCTAAACCCTAATCAAAGGATACGCTACACGTGCTCACTGGAGGATCGTGCTTCTAAGCTGGGACCGTGCTCGCTCGAGTGTTCAAGCATATGGTCGTTTGGATTGAATCATGATCATCCTCCAATGGTCCTCCAACATAAGATTCCGGGATAAGGCATTTAAGATGGCAAGCATGTTTCTTGGAGTTCACTTGTTTCGATAGAAGTAATGGATCCCTTGTCCAAAATGTCGGCATGGTTTCGCAGCAGAGTGGAACGAGAGATGGAGTGGGTTCTGGATGCTGATTATTTCGACCACACGAAGACGCTCTTCCGAAAAGAGCGATTCATTTACTTCCTGAGCATCTGGGACTGCCCGCTGATGCACGGGGCCATCGAAAGGGTGCCCCAGCTCCACTGGATTTCCGTGACTTCCGAAGTTTCAACTTTGCCCATTGCATTCTCCTCTCACTTAGGAAGGGGTGGCCAGTGCCCACTTGACCGGGCGAACCTTGTGGGACGACTCCTTTACTTGCCCCTTGATTAACTGTACATGTGGAGAACCGGCCGCCGGTGGTAGTCTTGCTGAGGTATGGTGATGGTGACTCGCCTTTTCGTCGGAGGGTTACTCTACATAGTACCGTGCCTCGATGCAATGTGAATCTACTTGCAAGTCATTTTGGTGGATGCTAGACATCGGCCCTTTGTGGCTTTTGAGGACCTTCGGGAAGAGCGAGGATGGCCCTAAACCCCAAACCCCGAGCCCCTTTCCAACTCTGTAAGCCCTAAACCCCAAACCCTTACCCCCTTTTAAACTCCTTAAGCCCTAAACCCCAAACCCTAACCCCCTTCTAAACTCCGTAAGCCCTAAACCCCAAACCCTAAGCCCCTTTTAAACTCCGTAAGCCCTAAACCCCAAACCCTAAGCCCCTTTTAAACTCCTTAAGCCCTAAACCCCAAACCCTAAGCCCCTTTTAACTCCTTAAGCCCTAAACCCCAAACCCTAAGCCCCTTTTAGACTCCGTAAGCCCTAAACCCCAAGCCCTAAGCCCCTTTTAAACTCCTTAAGCCTTAAACCCCAAACCCTAACCCCTTTAAACTCCTTAAGCCCTAAACCCCAAACCCCTAAACCCCAAACCCTAAGCCCCTTTTGAACTCCTTAAGCCCTAAACCCCAAGCCCTGAGCCCACTTAAGAAAAGAAACTAAGCCTCTTTTAAAATCCTTAAGCCCTAAACCCTAAACCCTGAGATCCTTGTTCCGTCAGCTGTGGTCGGATCTTCGGCGCGAGCGGGTGGACACGGACACGGCGATCTTCACCGCGGCGCCTGGGCATCTCAAAGTCTCGAAAGCTAGGGTTCAGGCTTTAGGGTCTGGGGTTTGGGATTTAGGGTTTGGGGTTTGGGTTTAGGATTTAGGGTTTAGGATTTATGATATTTAGAGGGCTCAGGGTTTAGGGCTTGGGATCACGATTTAAGTTTGGGCTTAGGGATTAATTATCGGCTTCAGTTTCTGATGAAGGGTCTAGGGGTTGGACTTCAGATTTAGGGTCTTCGATACAATTCCTTGGTTGGGCGTCCCGTCTGATCGCAGAGGAACCCCCTCAATTCAAGGTTTTAGGGTTTAAGCCTTCAGGGTTTTAGGGTTCTGGGGTTTAGGGCTGTAGGGTTTTGGGGTTTCGGGTTTCAGCTCACGTGAGGCGTTTACTTAAGATTGGGGATGATGTACTTGGCTGACTAGTAGTGACTGGGACATAGAGCTTTGTCTGATGCAATTGGTGGGTTTGTCAAGAACCCATGCTTTGCCTTGCTGGCGTGGGCTCACGTTTCGCGTTTTGGGTCAGACTTGGTAGCCTATATAGGTGGTTGTCAACATTAGGGTCCCTTTTTGGGTCCTTAATATAATACGGCACCTAATATTTAGGGTACCCAAAAAGGGACCAGAATTTTGACAACTACCCGCATAGAATCTGAAGCAGGTGTCCTCCATCCTTCAAAGACCGGTTGAGCATGAAAGGTGCCTAGCTTGCCCTAGACTAGATCTTCCAAAGTCGATCGTAATTGGTGGTGTTCGTCCCATGTAGTCCTTCGTATACCTATACTTTGCTGTACACCGAAGTCTCATTCATTTCTTAAGTCCCCCATGCTAGGTGCGAAGCACGTGAAGCCAAGGTTGAGCCCTGGGCACGAACTCATTACAGTGTAGGGTTTTAGGGTATAAACAACCTCTAACCCCAATCAAAGCTTATTCCCCCCAAACCCAAGCTAAACCCTTAAAAGTTTGGGTTTTAGGGTCCTTTTGAGTTTTCAGGGTCTCTGGGAGCCAACGCCCCAGCTCCGTCGTCCTTTAAGGCCCTGAACGCCTGCGAGAGGAATTGGAGGACCTTAGGGTTTGGGGGTTTAGGGCTTAGGGTTTAGGACTTGCAGAGAAGTGCATGGGTTTAGAGCTTCTTAAGGCAGGTAGGGGGTTAGTTAGCATGATGCAACCACAAATGTCCAGACCCTACATCCGAGGTTATGTCTTTGGATTATGTGGGTACGGGTTTGGTTCAGAGTGTGTCGGGGTGTTCTGTGTCATCGTGTTGGTGGGGGAGAAGTTGGGTGTGAGAGGGGGCAAAGCTTCTGAAGCCTGAAGGTTGGAGGGTGGTGTGGACAGTGGATGCCACATATACACAGATCTGTGTGCACAGATATTAATGTAATGAACGATACATAATGTATACATCTGTATATGCAAAAGGATGTGTATGCATTTATGCTGGTGTGTATGTCTGCGTGTGTTTACCGTATTCCGTTCTGATGTGCAGATTGTTGATTTCTGGTTTGGGCTTTAGGGATTTCGGATGTGGGCAAGGTAGGTTCTTAGATTCAACTGCCGGTCGCGTCTTGCCTAAACACCCAAACGCCCAGAAACTTGCATCATAAGCACCCTGGTGGGCTCATCTAAACAAGAAGTACTTGAGCCTACTGCATGTAGGCTCTAGCGGCTTTGGGGGTCGGGATACGTAGCACCTCTCACAGGAGTACGCCATCTAGACCCTTAAATTTTTACTAAACCCTAAACCCGGAAAATCCTAAACCCTAAACCTTAAAACCCCCAAAATCCTTAACCCTAAACCTTACACTCCCAGAATCCTTAACCCTGAACCTTACAGTCCCAAAATCCTTAAGCCTAAACCCTAAACGTCCTTTAGAGCTGTACGCAAAGGTGGCTTTTAGGACCCCGGTGTTTTTTGATCCAGGGATCCCCTGTAAAGGATTCTACAAGGATTACTACAAGGGGGATTATGGGGGTGTAGTAGAGGGGCCGAAATAACTACCCTATGCTATTTCGGGGGTTCTGAACCCTGGGGAAACCCCGCAACCCTAAAACCCCAAAAGACCGACCCGAAAGGCCTTCAAGCCCTACCTACCCCCCACCCCCCTCCGAAAAAAAAAAGTAGGTAAAAGAATGGCCCGGTAGCTATATAGAAGGCTAGTCTTCTACTACCTACTTTCGGGGCCCAGGTACCTTGCAACTTTGGTGGGTTTAGGGTTGATAGGTTGGGTATGGCCACCACTCAGTAATAGTTGAATAATATTCATAATATAGATATGTTAGGACCTTAATAGTAGCCCTATTATAGAGTCTTTCTGTACGGGAGCAGTGCCTGATTGATAGGGCTCAGGATCGCAATCTTTCTTGAAGCCCCAGGGTCCTGGTCGAATCCCTGCAATCTTAGTCGCTGAGTATTTAACCTTTGGGAACCTTTGGGTCTTGTATAAGTTTAGGGTTTAGGGTATTAAAGGATTTAGGGTTTAGGGTTTAGGGTTTAGGGTATTAAAGGATTTAGGGTTTAGGGTTTAGGGTATTAAAGGATTTAGGGTTTAGGGCCTCTAGGGTTTAGGGTCTAGGGCCTCTAGGGTTCAGGGTCTAGGATGTAGGCTTTAGGGTTTAGGGTTTAGGGTTTAGGGATAATCCAACTATAGTTCAAAGGGTGAACCTTTTTCGGGGCCAGGGTATTCAGCCCCTTAGTCATTCCAAGACCACAAGGCCCGCAGCATGGGAAAAGGAAAGCCCCACACCCAGACCCCCAGGAGGATCTAGAACGTAGATCCCCTAGTTAGGGGCCCTATACTACTACAGTTACTCTGTAGGAACCCCATTAAGGGATCTACTTTTTGGATCCTCCCGGGGGTCTGGGCAGGAGTGTCATTATGCTCCTCGAGGAGCATGCTTGGTTCGAGCTTTTTGGGGGGTGGATCCGTCGCGGGTGCAGTGTAGAATTCAGATAGGATTCAGGGTTTGCGGTGCCCTCAGGCGGGCAAGGCATATGCGGGCAGGCCTTCTTAAAGTGGAGCACCGAGTGAAACCAGTGGCTGAACAGTCAGCATTAGCTAGTTTTGCCTCCTAGGCCGCAAGAACTGGACTGGAAACAGCAATGATCATGTTGGCATTCATTTGCAACCCCGGTCCCTTTTGCAGAATCATCGCTCTGGAAGACAGGTGATTCTGAGGTTCTGAGTAAGGCATTCTAGACGCAATGCTTCGGACAGGTGTTTCAGATGGTGACATTGAGAGGCTTGATTTGAAGGCATGGTCTGTGAAAGCTAGATGTAATGAGGATGCCAAAACTCAGCTTTCGATCATGCCAGCTGCTCTTGGAGACTAAGGGGTTTCGAATAGACTGGTAAGTATCAAAACCGCCAAAACTCGAGTGCAAAGCCCGGAGAGGCTTCACACAAGCGCTATGAAACCTTTATAGCCGAAACTATATGGGTAGTTGTCAAAATTAGGGTCCCTTTGTGGGTCCCTAATATAGTACGGCACCCTAATATTTAGGGTGCCCCAAAAGGGACCCATAATTTTGACAACCACCCATATAACCCTACAAACGACCCCTTTGTCGAATCGTGCGATTTGCCCGGGATCGGTCCGAAGGAGCTCCGCGGCGAAGCCATGGAGCCGGATTTGTACACATACAATGCGGCGCTGACCAGTGCTTCCCTCAGAATCAGGGTTCAGGGTTAAGCCTGAAGCTTTGAACACCTAAAGGCCTTGAGCCCACAATATGAAGCCTTCATGTCCCAGTACCCAGAGCCTTGTGGCGATGGCTTTGTGACGCTTGGCCTTTTGAAGTGATTTTGTCGTTGCTTCGGCACGTTGTTTTTTGGGATCGTATGATCCGGTGGCGAAGCCCCGAAACATCCTGTTCTTGAAGGAGTCCAGAACACAGGGGGCGCTTATGCGGTTCTTTCAAGGTCGCAGAAGTATATAAAAGGACAAACCGTAAATCCTATGAAGCCTGACATGGCTCATAGCTCTCAGACCGAAACCTTGCAAGGAATCCTCAACAAGAGTCCTTTGCAGGCACCCTTTGTTAAAGAACCCTATAGCCCCTAAACTAAACCCGGAAACCTGGAACCTTTGCAGGGAACCCTTAAATAAAAAGAACCCTTAAACAATAAAGGAGCCTCCAAAGAAGCCCTAACCCCCAAACCCTAAACCCTTAAAGGAGCCCTTTAAGAAACTCTGCCTGAAGGAGCCCCAGGGAACCCTTACCCCTAAGACCCTCAAAGGAACCCATCAAGGAACCCTTGCTCATGGAAACCCTTCAAAGAACCGTTGCCCCTGAACCCTCAAAGGAACTCTTATGAGGGAACCGTTAAAGGAACCCCGGCCCCTAACATTGAGGAACCCTTAAAGGAACCCACGAGTAGAACTCTTAAAGGAACCTTACAAGGGAACCCTTAAAGGAACTCTTAAGGGAACCCTTAGAGGAACCCTAAACCCTTAAGGAACCCCCTAAAGGAACCCCATAGAGTAGCCGAAGATGGCACAAGAAGGCTTCTAAACCCTAAACTCTAAACTCCGTAAGCCCTAAACCCCAAACCTTAAGCCCCTTAAACCTTAAACCCTAAACCCCTCAAACCCTAAACCCCTTAAGCCCTAGCGATGGTCGAGCTATCAAGGCTGAGCTTGACTACAAGTTTTTTCTGGGCGTCTTGGCTATATCGACTGTATCGTCAACAACGAGCCCTACGATGTTTGTTTCACTGGCGTGTGCCTGTACAGGTAGACTAACCGTCACCACGCCTCAAAAAAAACCTAAACCTTAAGCCCCTTAAGCCCTAAACCCGAAACCCCTTAAGCCCTAAACCCTAAACCCCTTAAACCCCAAACCGTAAACCACTTAAACCCTAAACCCCATAAACCCTAAACCCCCTTCAGCCCCTTAAACCCCTAAACCCTAATCCACTTAGGCCCTACAGCCTAAGAGCCCTAAACCCCTAAACCCCTAAACCCTAAGCCCCTAAACCCCCAAACCCTAAACCCTAATCCCCTTAAGCCCAAAGCCCCTCAAGCCCTAAACCCCCAAACCCGAAACCCTAAACCCCTTAAACCCCTCAAGCCCTACACCCTAAGAACCCTAAACCCCTTAAGCCCTAAACCCCAATCCCCTTGAGCCCTATGCCCCTCAAGCCGAAGAACCCCAGTCCCCTTAAACCCCTTAAACCCCTCAAGCCCTAAACCCCTTAAGCCCTATGCCCCTCAAGCCGAAGATGGGCTAAGAAGGTTTGGCCCAGGGCCGCCAGTGGCAGCGGGCGCTGCGCGAGTTCCGCGAGACCTTTAAAGGATCCCCCGGGGTTTCTCAAGGTTTGGGCTCCTTTAAAGGAACCCTAGGGGTTCCTTTGAGGGATCTGTAAGGTTAGGGGTTTAGGGGCTTCGAGTTTAGGGTTTAGGGTTTAGGAGTAAAGGGGTTTAGGGGTTCAGGGTGTAGGGTTTAGGGGTTCTTAAGGTTTGGGTTTAGGGTTTAGGAGCAGCGGGGTTTAGGGGTTCAGGGTGTAGGGTTAAGAGGTTCTTTAAGGTTTGGGTTGTGGGGTGTTGGGGTTCTTAAGGTTTGGGTTGAGGGTTTAGGGGCTCTTAAGGTTTGGGTTTGGGGGTTCTTAGGGTTTGGGTGCTATAGGGCGTTTATACGCGGGCTTCTTAAGGTTAGGCTTTGGAGGATGCCGGGGTTCTTCGGGTTTGGCGCTATAGGGCTTTTACAGGGTCTGCTCGAAGTAGAGTAGGCTCGTGTGGATGTGTAAACACATATGCGCATCTACATATAAATATAATTATATATATATATATATATGCACATATAACTTTACATATGTATGTATACACACGCACACACACACACACACATAGACTTATTTAATCTTATTTATACATGCTACTTAGAGGTGCAGGGCCTTCGTAGCAGGTCAAGAGTAGGCCCATTATTAGGGTAACGGTACCTCCCACAAGGGCTACAACCTACTTGCTACATCCCCTGATCCTTTCAAAACCCTTAGCCTTTAGCCCTAAACCCAAAACCTTCATAGGATCCCTCAAAGGCCGCTATACCATGGAACCCTCAAAATAGGAGCCCTTGGAAGGCACCCTTTAAAGGATAAAGGCCGCTATACCATGGAACCCTACAAAACAGGAGCCCTTGGAAGGAACCCTTTAAAGGATCGATCCCTACTTCCACTCCTAGACAAGCAGGATCCGACTTGGATCTGACGCCGAATCGGGTATCCTACTTCGCAGTCTTCTGCGCCTGCTTGGAAGGAGGCCCTGCTGTTTTTATGCTTTTTGGTGGGTTTAGGGATGAAGTGCAATTAGGTTTCGGGTTGAGGGTTGAGGGAGGGTTACAGACTTCGGGATCATAGGCTGAGGGGGGGAGGGGGGCTTCTTGGGATTAGGCACTAATGCAAGCGCCTTAGCATTTTGGGCCAGGGCATAAAACATTCTTGCTTTAATATAGAACTCTGAGGAACAAGATGAATAATGAGTTATTCAATCCATCATCCCTTGTGCTGTGAGAGATGGTGGACACAGATTTGACAGTGCTGCGTAGGCCATTTGTGCAATTACCGCTGCCTCCAAATTGTATTTCACCGCGAGGTAGCTTCGCAGACCGGAGGGCGTTCCAGATTCGGGTTGTTCACAGGTGTGAGAGGGTCGTGGTCGCTCTCTCCTTGTACAGTTGTAATTCGAGCATTTCTCGGCCACTCCGTTAATTGAAAATTAAGTTCAGGGCCTTTTTCTTGTGCCTTGTGCTCTGTAATGTCGGATCACGCAGATCGGACTGAAAATAAGTTTGTTGCTGGCCGCTTCGATCTTGATCCTAAACACTAAGCGCCAATCGCGATAACAACCCGTAAACAAAGCAAGAGCCCAACGCTGTTCAGGCCTCGAAACGGTGTTGTGAATCCTTCAGCTGTATTACAACCCTGAACTCTAAACCCATCTAGTCTACACCGCAAATCCTAAGACCCTAAACCCGTTAACCCTAAACCCTCAACACCTCCACTGGAGCTGTAGTCGCCCCTACCGCCCCTACACCCTAAGACCCTGAACCCTACAGCCCCTTAAGCCCTAAGCAGCCGAGGAGCCGCCCTGTAAAATGGCCACTGCGATGCAGCATGTAACGAACGCCGAAAATCCCAACACACAGAGAGAGACACAGAGAGATAGAGAGAGAGAGAGAGAGAGTGTGTGTGTGTGCGTTTTTTGGGTTTAGGGTTTAGGGTTTACATAGGTGTTTACCGCACCACTCACCAACCAAGCCGAAGGCCAAAGCCTTCTCAAGCTTTTGCCAAAACCTCGTGCGCCCTAGGCCCTACGAAGCAGTTATAAGATTCTCTACTTTTCTCTAGGTCAGCAAAGAAGCCCCAACCCTAAACCTGGAAAAACCCATACCCTAAACCATAGAGGCTAAAATAAGTACCTAATGTAGGAATCTGATTCAGAAACCCTGGGCCTATGACCCCAAAATAGTAGCGTTCATATAAGGAACCCAAATAAAGGCCCAAGGCTTCTTAGTCAGGTTCCTACATTATACTATCTCGGGGGCTCCTGATGATTATAAGTATAGTACAAAAACCTTATTCTAATTACGAAGGCCCTTATATTACAGTACCCTTATGGACACCTTTAAAGGAGCCCTTAAAGGGAACTCTATTCTAATTATACAGGGCTCCTACATTAGCGAACCCTTACAGATCCGTAATAGACCCCTTTAAAGGACCCCTTAAAGGGAATCCTATTCTAATTATAAAGGGTCCCTATATTATCGAACCCTTATAGATCCCTTCTAGACCCCTTATAGACCCCTTTAAAGGAGCCCTTAAAGGGAGCCCTATTCTAATTACAAAGGGCCCCTACATTACCCCAAAGGGTCCAAAGTACACATAGAGTAGAATGTAGGGTTTCCGTATTCGGAATTACTACTATGATTTGGGGAAGTAATGCCCATAACAGTACCTAGGACCCTTTGGGTACATACTCTGAAAAGCTTGGTCCCACGCACTCTGGTGTGCGCAGGCCGTCCGGCGGAACTCCTCCAGTTTTACGAGGCACCCCTCGTTGAGGGTTTAGTTAGGGTCTATATACCCTAAACCCTAAACCTAGGGTTTAGGGTTTAGGGCCCTCTTTGGGACTTCGTTGAGAACGGAGGTCTGAAGTAACAGTACTCCTGTTCCGTCCAGTCCTCACAATACTATCAACACCCAGAATCCCATTCACAGTTTCAAGACAACTACATTGCGGCATTTGAGTTCCGAGCTTTAGGTTTCTAGTGTAAAGTTTACAGTCTCGGGTGTGTCTGCAGAGTTTACGACTTGCGGTAGCTAGACCGCCTGCTTTTTTTCAGGTGTGGCGTTCATGATATGGAGTTCTATTTAGTTGCTGGAGTCTTTACACAAGAAGTCGGGCATGAAAGAATATACCTTAAACTTTAGGGGCCCTGATGTTATGGTTTAAGGTATATTCCTTAATTAAGGGCTACTGGGATCTCTGGGTATGCCCTATGCCCCTGAACCTTGCCTTGCCTTCCGGGTGGAGGAGATGGCACACCAAAGAGTGGAGCTAGACGCCACAGCAGCCGGGGCTGCAGTGGATGCATGTGAGGCCCCACAGTGGGAGATTCGGATTAGTTTTTGCTTGGTTGGGTAATGATCGTTCTTTCCAGTGAGGGCGGTTATAGTATGTAATTAGCATACTATATCCCAAAGCTCTGTGCTGATTGTTTTAAGCCGTCCCGAACCCTTATATATATATATGTACAATGCTCAAACCAATCCTCCCATGTTTCTGTGATCAATTCTGAGAAGGAGCAGAGCATGGGCCAGCGGGCTTCAGGACGTAAAGGATTTAGGGCTGCGGGTCTCAGGACAACCTTACTGCGTTTCGGTCTAAAGCCCTCAATCGCCTAAAACTCTAGAAACCCATGTTGATGATATAAATCCTGCATTGCCCGTCATTCATGAGGAATATACCACTATGGCCATAGTCTAGGGTCCTTAAGGTAATGCAGGGTTTATATGATCAACAGTAGGTCCATAAAATCTCTGAAACCTACCACTCTAGAGACGACATGCCGGAGCCCAAGATTCCCCATGAGAGCCGAAAACTCAACAACCCTAAATCCACAAGACCCCATGCCTGGACCCCAAAATAAGTATGTAGAATAATAGCCTTTAGTGGGTCTTGGGCCATTATTTTGCCTACTTTTTTTTTTTTTTTTTTTTTTGGGGGGGGGGTTCGGTGAAACCTACTCTAACATAGCCGTTGTAGGAACCCTGGTAGAACCCTCAAGGCACCCTTACAGGAACACTGTTCGAATTATGAAGGCCCCGGTGCTAAAGCTTTCAAAGCCTAAACTTAAACCCCCAACACCCCCTACATTCCCCGCACCCCTTGAACCGTGCCTAGACCCCGAGAGTATGTAGAATACTGGCCTTTTTGTAGGAGTTGGGCCATTATGTTCCCAAATTTTTGGTGGTGTAAATATAGCTTAAAAACCCTAACCCCCTAAACCCTAAAGCCTTCAAACCCTGAACCCTGAAAAACCTCAAGCTTAAACACGCTAAATGGGAGTTTCCGAAAACAAGGGACCCTAATATGGTACCCTGAATAGAAGGATCTTTATGATAAGGACCCCAAAACCCCTAATATTCGGAAACTCCAAACCCTAAACCCTTTTTAAAATCCTTATAGATCCCTTTAAGGAACCCTTAAAGAATCCCCTTAGAGGAACCCCTAATTTTCGGAAACTCCCAAGTCTCTACTTGAAGGGTCTTGGGACTTAGTAACTGGTTGTTTTAGGGACTTCCAAATACCATAACCCCAATTAGGGTCCCTTTTAGTGTACTTATAAGTCTACTTACTACCTACTTACGAAGTCCCCCGACCCTCCAAGTAAAGTTCCAAAGCTCCCATGCACTCCTCGGCCAGATGCTTGGTAGCGGACCCACCTCGCAGCTGCCCTTCGGCTGGCCTTGCAGTTCAGGGGCTTTAGGCTTTAGGGGTTTTCAGGGGGTTTAGGGCCGTTTTGGGGTTTAGGGTTTTAGGGGCTTGAGGGGTTCAGAGATTTTGGGGAGTTTCGAAGTTTGAGGCGTTATTGCAGGTTAGGGATTAGGAATTCGGAGTTTAGTAGGGATGTCTCGGGTGAAGGTTCTGCTGCTGTAATTTGGGAGATGCGGGATTCGACTCTGGGTTTAAACATCTGAAGCCTGAAGCTTCTTTGTACTTGACAACTTCAGAACCTGAACCCTAAGTTTAACCCCACACCTCTAGACCTTAAGCCCTAGGAACTTCCCCATACCTTAAACACTCAATTCTAGTGGTTTAATGCCATTGAGAATCCTTAAATCCCAAACCCTTCCAAGCCAAGCGACTCAAATTAACCCCTGAGCCCTAAACCGAGCCTAGGCTCGAGTTTTGCGACCTCCGTTCTGTGGAGCTCCTTTGTGCGGATGCACGGCCCGAGCGACATTTCGTAGGAGCGAAAATGGCATCCTTTTTCTTGGGCTGAATGATTTAGGGTTTCGGTGTTTATGGTTTAAGGGATCTTTGGTGAAGGTTTCTTGGGGTTATATACCATGACTCTTGGGATTAATTATTGCGAGTTGCGGCATCTGGAGGCGTTAAGGCATTGCAGCAACCCGTCAAACTCTCGCCCTCTGAACTCAGATTAAAGGTTGGCATTCGGAATGTTGTTTGCTGAATGGCACCTGGATGTTGAAGAACTCTGAGGCTTAAGGGTACCTAGACCCCCCAAAGTAGATAAATACTGGCCCAAGGTTCATAAAAAGGCTATAATTCTACATACTTTTGGGGTCCAGGTATAGGCTGTTCGGAGTTGAAGGTCTCCTTGACGACTACGGTCTGAAATCGTTCCTTCGGGCGATCTTTGCAAGAAGGGTAGTAGCAAGCTTTTCGTTGTTGTTGTGTGCCATGTTTGCCGATTTAAGGTGTCCAAGGCGAAGTACATAAGCGCAACCTTAACCTACCAAACCCTACTTTTTAGTAGGTGTCTTAGTAGAAAACCTAATATGGAATTTAAAGGAACCCTACACAAAAGTTGGTTTTCGTAGGTTAAGGAAGGCAACCACCCAAAAGGGGCCCGAAGATACTCTTTCTGCCGGCACACCGTAGGGCTAGGGTGCCCTCTAGCAAAACACTTGGGGTTGGTTTTGAGGGCTCAGGCCAAGGATTTCGTTGCTGTGGTGATTCGACATCAGCTGTTAGTTAGGCTATACTAGGCTGCCCAGGAGTACCGTATGCCCTTTTTGTAGTCCTAGGTTCCTTATAAAGTTGCCCAATACCAAACAGGGAGCCCTTTTTATTCCTAGGTTACTGGGCATCCTAGTAAAACCTCCAGACCCTAAACCCTAAACTCTAAACCCCTACGCCCTATAGTTTTGCGGGGCTTCAGGGTGTCAGTATTTATTTGGATCACTTTTCGGGTTTGAGGGGGTCTCTTCGCCTCGAGGATCCCAAGGCTGTCAGCTCAATAGTCGAAGATTTCTGCAGACGAACCCCAGATCCCAAACCCTAAACCCTAAACCCTAACCCTAATGACTATAGAAGCCTGAAGAAGTAGTGCTATTCGTCGTCAGGGCTTCTGAATATTCAGTATACCATGGTATACCCCACAACCCAAGTCTAATCAGTCTCTCAAAAACCCCAAAGTAACCATACAAAACCCCCAAAACGACCGATTGCCATTCTCAGAGCCCCTACGTTATCCCCTAAACCCTAAACCCTATACACCCTAAACCCTAATTATCCCTGCTCCGCCTTTGCCGTCGGCTCACAGTTTTCAACGCCTCAGCGCGGAAGTACCCAGGACTTCAAGGCTCTAATTAAGCGGTTTAGGGTTTATATGAGCCCTGGTTTGTTTGGTTTAGTGTTATAACCCCTAGTTTGGTTTTCGGACTATTTTTCGTACTAGGCCCAATTAGAGATCCTTTGAGGGCCTAGGGTTGAGACTCTAGGAGCGTTCGACTCTCGACTTGTACTGCTGCGGGTGAGCACGGTATTACCGCCAGACCCAGGTCATGAAGGCCAGTAGCTGACGATGGTTACGGTTGATGATATAAATCCTGCATTACCTTAAGGAGCCTAAACTATGGGAATTATGGTATACTCCTTGGAGCCTAAACTATGGGAACTATGGTATACTCCTTATTATGGGTCATGCAGGATTTATATCATCAACCGTTACCTTGGGTTAGTAAGGAAATGGAGGAATGGGGTATAACTATAACTACTATTACTACCATTCTTCCATTCCCTACTAACCAAAGGTAAGGATGGGGGGGGGGGGGGTTGGGTTCGGATTTCGTCTTGAAGGGCGTTTGGTTCAGGGTTTCGGGCTTAGGGTTTAGGGAGGGTTCAGAGGGGCTTCGGGGTGTAGGGCTTTCGGGGCTTCAGGATTTTAGGTTTGGGGCCTGGGGTTTGACTCGACTGAGGTATTATAGTTTTCATTTGGTTTCGGGATAGCAGTTTAGGGATTACTATCACTGTTTTTTTACATGTGGTGTGCGTTGGGGATTGCAGAGACTATGGCACGCCGGACATGGGGGACTATGAATATTTATAGGACTCAGGAGTTTAATTTGGGTTTACGGTTTAGGGATGTTGCGATGGGAAGCTGGCACTTGATTCTGGCACGGGCTTTCGGGGGGTGTTGGCTTTGCAATCCCACAAAACGCACACCTGCGCCGCCCGAAATCACCAAGCCGCCAGCCAAAAAGACTAAGCGTCTGCAGATGCACAGAAATCCCTTCAAAGCAACAGAATTAAGCATACACCACATCACCCTATAAGCTCCATCCAGAACTGTAACACCCTACAACACCCTTAAACGAACACTTAATGGAAGCCTTCCAGGAACGCTTGATCCGCGAAAGCCGGAACCCTTTGCAGGCAGAAGAACCTTATAGGGATCCAAAAAGCACATAAGCATAAGCATTTGATAGGGATACCCCTACCTTTCTGGGCTTCTTTATAAGGGGGGGTTTATATGGGATATCCCTATCCTAATTTTTGCTTATGTGCTTTTTTGGTACCCTAGAACCATAGCTTGAGGATGACCGAAATCGCACCGCGAGATACGCCCCGAGGTTGGCAGAGTTTTGTGGGCGCTGCTGTCCGTGAGTTGCACGGTGCAGGTCAGAGATGTGGGCTTGGGGAGTGGGGTTTACTTGGAGGGTCGGGGGACTTAGTAGCTGGTTATTTTAGGGACTTATAAGTACCACAACCCCAATTAGGGTTCCTTTCAGGGTACTTATAAGTCTACTTACTACCTACTTACTAAGTCCCCCGATCCTCCAAGTAGGGTTTAGTATTCCAGCGGTTCGTCATCTCGGGTTCTATAGGGTTCGCGTCCAGTCTTTCAGGCTTTCAGGGGCTGAGCGTTGCTTGTCGCGTAACGGCTAGCTGCTTCTACCACTTACATACTTGCGGTGTCCCATACCCCAGGACCAGACCATTTTTGAATTAGCTTATAGTAAAATAACAACAATAGTAATAGCCAAAATAATCGTGATAATAACAACAATAACAACGATAACAATAAGAATGATAACAATGAGTTCCTGCAGCCAATACTCCAAGCAGCTTTTGAAGGGAGGCTGGCTGAGGGGCTCGGTGGTTCATTGCTGGTGGTTACCGTGCTAGTCAGGGCATTGGCATTGCTAGTTACCCTTAATTGCAGCACCATATGCCCTAAACCCTGAGCCAAACCCCAAACAGTTCTGATTCTAATTATTGCTATTCATCATGAGCACATCCCTTGACCAACACACCACCCTGTTACTGATTGAATTACCGCAAGACGACAGACCTGTAAGGGGGAAGATTTTCCGGTTTGGGGCTTGGGTTTAGGTTTCTGCGGCTTCTGGGTCAGCGTAGGGTCTTGTTCCTTGAAGACCATCCCTAAGGGTCCATGTACCCAAATATAGGGTTTAGGGTTTAGGCTTAATAGTATATACTTTGGCCTTAAAGTACTCCCTACATGGGTACATTGGGCCCAAAGTATATACGATTTGGGTACATGGACCCTTAGGGCATACTGGATAAGCACTTTGTTTGGGGGTCGCGTGCATGGTCAGCTAATAGAGCTCGAAAGACACATTGCATGCTGCTTAGGGCCTAGGGACAACCTCTGTGGAATGGTGACAAAAATTAGTGACCCTAAACCCTAAACTCTATAAGCCGTATAAACCCTAAACCCTATAAACCCTAAACCACCCTATAAACCCTGCATCTAAACCCTATAAACCCTATACCCTATAAACCCTAAACCCTATAAACCCTAGAAACCCTAAACCCGAAAAGACTTAAACCCTAAACCTTATAAACCCTAGAAACCCTAAACCCGAAAAACCCTAAACCCTAAACCGCTTTCTCAGGCCGAGGATGCTCCACCAGCTATCGAAGAAGGAGCCGTCCTCCATAGCCAGCCGAAGCCTTATTCCAGATCCTAGAAGTGGGGCTCCTTTTTAATTTGAGCCGTTTTCTAAAACCCTAAACCTTATTCCAGATCCTAGAAATGTGGGCTCATCTTTAATTTGAGCCGTTTTCTAAAGTTTCAAGAGGGGTTTAGGACGCTCTAGGGCTTCCTTTATCAGGGCTCTATATAAGTGTTTGCGCAATATACGCCGTGAATTGGGTCCCGGCATACCTGGGGTTTGTAAACCGCTTGGGAAGTCCCTTATCGCCAGCCTTGGCTTCCGTGTAAGAGTAGAATAATGTATTCCTTATTTCAGAGCTAGCCCAGTGTTTGGTTACAGAAGATATACTCAGGAACGCTATGGGATAATGTTGCTAATTATTCCGTCTTCTATTGTGATTGTTTCTAGTCTATTCGGTGTTGATAAAGGCGTTAACGGCTCAAAGGGTGTTGTGACATTCTGCGGAGTTTTCTGGATTCCCTAGCAGCGGTTTCTGACTATGTTTTAGTATACGGATCTTGACATTTCGGGCAATGGAACTTAGGGTCCCCCAGTTTCTGAAACCCCTCATCATGGGCTTGGCAGGCTTTCGACAATATTGCCAGGGCGTTTCCATGTACAGTCTTTGACAGGGTTAGAGTTTAGTGCAGAGGGACCTGTGTTTTAGTGTATAGGGCTAGAGCTACAGCGTTGCTAGTCTTTTCGGGTATAGTTTATTTTTCTTGTGCAGAATCCCATAGGGGATGTAAGAGTGCTCCGCTTCCCTTTTGAAAGCGAGCTCGTGGGAAGGCACGAGGAACCGTAAAACAAGATGGGCACCCTGACATCGCATTGCAGGCACCTCTACACAGCCGTCCAGTAATGAACCTAAACCCTGAACCCTAATCCCTAATCCCTAAACCTTCAACGTTCCAGCTCACCAGAAAGCTTTAATTGCAGGCAGAAGCGGTCTTTATATGTAATATAGGGGCTTTATTTTTCAATGAGAATAAGGTTTTGGGGCCGATTATACGATCGTTATACCAAGGAAGCCTGGCAATAATTGAGGTCCCTGTAGTACCCACTGCCCTCCTCAAGGGATTAAAATTGGCATTTTAGTTACCATTAGCTGGGCCGGAGCTGGACCGGAAGTGGCCAAGGCAGTAACCTAGAGGGGGGGTCATTTGGGAGTTTCCGAAAATTGGGGGTACCTTATTTTGGGGCGTCCTTTTACAAGGATCCTACTATTTAGGGTACTGTATTACGGTCCCCTATTCTAAACCCCCTAGCTAATGTACAACAACCATGCACATCCGCAACTCCTGAAGTCAGTCAACCGACAGACCCCCTCAAAACCCTTAAACTCCAAAACCCTAAACCCTAAAAAGCCGTAAGCCTAAACACATCAAATTCTCAACTCTCAACCCGCTGGCTGCCTAGGCGCTGGTTTTCCGAGGAGTGGAGGAAGAAGTTCAACGCGGGAGATGCCTTTCGCTTGAAGTCAGGGCCAGGAATATTTCTGACGTCGTTATGAGTAAGTTGTGAGTCTTACGATTTTAGGAGCTAGGGAGTTTTCGTAGCTCTAGTCGGCGAAAAGCTTTGCTGCTGTGGCTGTGCAGTTCATGTAACAGTGCAATACAGTGCATGCCAATTCTATAGCTACCACATGATTCGCCTGTATCCGCCTCTCGAAGCATGTAGACGGCGCACCCGCATTTCGTGGTTGTTGGCGTGATCGGTGTGGGAGTTAGGGGGACCCTAATAAGATACCCTGAGTAGTAGGATCCTTATTATATTAGGACCCAAAATACAGTACCCCTGGTTTTCGGAAACTCCCGTGTGGTGAAACATTGGCTCTCTTTTCGGATGTTTCAGGTCGAGGGCTTCGAAGTTTCAAGCCGAGAGAGGAAGAGACACAGTCATCGCGTGCTTGCAGCTGCGGTCACACAACTCACGCTTTTGTGAGCTTCTGGATTTCGGCCAAAAAAATGACCCTCAGCCCCTACGCCCTGGACCCATGAACCTGAAACCTTTGGAGTTTTGCGATTTCGAGGCATTCCCTACCCTTCAGAATATCATCTCGTTGCGGCCGTTCTCCTCAAGTCAAACGCTGAGTTCGAAGTTCTGCCTGCGCCCAAATCTTGGAGCAACCTTGTCGCGAAGATCCGACGGCACAATCCTACAGTCCATAGTCATCCTGCATACAATCCCTTTGCCCGTAGCTGTGTGCGAATCCTTACCCTAAGGGTCCATGTACCCGAACAGTATATACTTTGGGCCCAATGTACCCATATAGGGAGTACTTTAAGGCCAAAGTATACATACATGGACCCTTAGGGTTAGGTTCACAAATAGCGCAGTCCACAGCGGAATCCGATCCATGAGTTGAGGTTTGCACTTCTGTTGACTATTTTTGAAGATCATTGGCTTCGTAGCTAAGGCTGTAAGTTCCTTCAGTGGGGTCATAAGCAAATTGCAAGTGTGGTCCTTATGGTTGCCTTGTTTTTACCCCGAGTTGCGAAGTCCCATGATCCTTTCAAGTTCCTCGAGACATGAACTGAAAGTTTCTATAGTCTTTGCAAGACAGGTACTTCGATATCAAGCTTGATCTATTTCGCTATGCGAATTGGCAAGACTCAGCCAAGATGCTGCACATCTGGACAGTGTCGGGGGAAGAGGTGGTGATTGAAAAAGACGGCTTGAGCGATGTACGGGCCGTGAAACAACATTTACAACGCAAAAGGGCCCTGTCGCGGTTCAGAGTGAGACTTTTGCAAGATGGCCGTGATTTGCATGATGATTGTGCAGTGGTGGCCTTGCCGGACGGTTTGCAGATGGTCGTGCTGCCGTTTTCGGAAGCTTCGGATGAGCAGGTGCTCGAGTTCATCAGCGCCGCTGGCGATGGCAACCTTGCATCTGTTGGGGAGATTCTGAAGCGACCACAAGACCCGAACAGGGTAGTCGCGGATATCAGGGGTTTTCCGTTTGGAAGGCCGCCTCATCACAGCCAAACAGCTCTGGCAGCAGCATCAGATGAGGGCTACGTTGAAGTTGTGCGTATGCTCTTGGAGGCTTCTGCCAACCCAGACGGCTATGGAGTCGGAAGGGATTACGAGGGTCCAAGTCTTGTTTTAGCTGCAGGCAGCGGCCACATTGAAGTGGTCCGCCTTTTGGTGGATGCCCGGGCGCTGACGGAGGCAGTCTCCAACTTTTGGGGGACAGTTGTAGACCCCATTGTTGCGACCATCCAAGGACATGATCCGGTTGGCAACACGGGCCGCCCACACGGCCCCGGTGCGAACAGCATGGGGATGGTACAGATATTGTTGGAGGCAGGTGCCGACCCAGCATCCATCACACCTGCTCTAGTTCCTCACAACCCTGCTAGTGTGGACCATGATGCCCGGCCCTTGGTGGCAGCATCTCAAGGCGGACACCTGGAAGTTGCGCGCCTGTTGTTGGAGAGCAGCTTGGCTGGTTATGTTTCGGCAACTCAAGGATCTGCGAACTCAGAACACATGCAGCGGAGGCATCTTGCTCCAGCCCTTGTCGCCGCATCCTCGAGAGGCTATGTGGAGATGATAAGATTGCTCGTGCAGTTCATGGGATCTGCACTTGACGACTGCCGTCATGCAATGCCCAAGGCGCGAACCGCAGTTCCTTGGACGACGCCTCTGTTTTGTGCGTCGCGTTTTGGGCACGTGGGCATTGTCAGTTTGCTGTTAGGTGCTCGTGCTGATCCAGACACAGTTTGTGGAGATGACGGCCTGACAGCTCTTTCAGTAGCCGCTGGCGATGGGCACGTGGAGATTGTGCGTCTGCTGCTAGGATCCTAGCACCCCACCCTTTTGCCAGTTCAGATCGGTTGCAAGTGGTCTCACTCCTCCAAAGTGCCTAGCGGTCAACAGTTTCACGCACGGAGGACTCTGTCCTTGCTTTTGGTGTGGTGATGCTGTGTTTTAAGCCCTAAGGGTCCATGTACCCAAATAGTATATACTTTGGGCCCAATTTACCCATATAGGGAGTACTTTAAGGCCAAAGTATATACTATGTGGGTACATGGAAATTTAGGGAAGGTTATCATGAATCTACGTTCTACATCCTCCCGGGTCGGCTCACTGGGATCATAGTGAGGCGGCTTTTCTATACATGAGGCAAGGGTTTAGGGTTTAGGGTGGTTGGGAGCTCAATGGTATTGGGACGGGTTGGGTTCGTGGAAGCGGTCGAGAGTTGATGTACAAGACTAAGCCTTCGGGAGAGGGAGATCTGACCAGGCCTTCTGGGGGCCGGGCTCGTGCTATTTTTTGGAGCTCCTTACATAACTATTAGACGACCAACGGGGGAGAAGCCTCTGGCTCTTTCATTCAGGGTTCCTTTTCGGGTGTCAGAGTTTGTTTAGGGTTGTAGGGTCTCGGGTGTAGGGATCACTCTGAAGACACTGCTGGTCTAGTGTAAGATTGCACATGCAGTGCAGCCCCTCGAAGAGTGAGAAAACCCCCATGTAAAATTCCGTTGCTTGAGCTTCCGTTAGGCCCCGTGGCGGTGTAATGTCGGGCTTCAAAAGTTGTAACACTTTTCCTCCATGTTTCGTACTGGCTATAGTAGAATACTCCCCAGACACCCCATTCAAGAGGAAAGGCCTGAAAAGCTATCGGTCTCGTGAGCTGATATTTAGGGTTAGGAATGAATGGGCCGAGGGCCCTTATGGGCACACCCATCAGCCGGACTGGTCTCTCTTGGGTCTAGGGTTTGGGGTTTGAGGATTATAGCTTTCGTTTATTGTAACAAAAGCTGCCTTAGTCATGACGGTAGTTACCACGTGCCCTGTACAGTAGTTGAGTAACTAAACCGATTCCCCAAGAACCTACGTTTGGGCTATCGGGCTCTGATGTCATGTATATTTGTGGGCGAAAGGGTCGTGCTGCGACCTTGCATGCCGAGGTTGTCTACTGCCTGAAGGTGGCGTCGGCGAGCTTACCGGCTCAGGGTATACGTTTGGACACAAGTGCGCGCATACATATTCTATTAGCCTTGTGGGTTGGGCTTCCGAGCACAACGCCGGAGGGTGTTGGTTCATGCCAGGTATGTTACATGTTGATGAGAATGTGGAGCATCTGTGCATGTTGATTCTCGGGGCACTAAGTCGAGCTTGCCGGCACGGTTTCGTGCTGAGGCTCCTTCAGAAAACAAGTGGGTGGTAGTCAAAATTAGGGCCCCTTCTTGGGCACCCTGAATTTTAGGTGCCGTATTATATTAGGGACCCAAAAAGGGGACCTTAATTTTTGACAACCACCCAAGTAGGGTTCCGCTACCTCTAAACCCTCAACCCTAAACGCCCTAAACCCTAAGCCCTAGACCCTAAGCCCTGAAGTTTAAGCGCCCTCAAGCATGACCTTGTCGGGTGTAGAGGTTGGAGATAGGCGCCCGACCGACCCCCTCCAATCCGAGGTGCCTTCAAGAATCGGGGGTTGGGGTTTCGGTTCCGGGATTCTTCTCCTGGCGGCTTTTGGGTAAGTAAGGTTCAATTGCTTAAAGGATCATGGGACTTAGTAACTAGAGTTATAATTAGGGTAACTAGACTTATAACCCCAATTAGGGTACTTATAACCTTACTTACTAAGTCCCATGATCCCCATGATAGAACCCCTATAGATCCCTTTAAGGAACCCTATTATAGAACCCTATAGTACCCTTATTACCTACTAAGTCCCATGATCCTCCAAGTGAGGTTGCAGTTTATTGAGGTTGCTTCAGGGCGTTGGAGTCACAGATTTATTTTGGAATGAAAGGCTGTCTGGCTTGCTTGGGGCGGCACGGTTTAGAGTTTAGGGTTTAGGGTTTAGAGTTTAGGGTTTAGGGTTTAGGGTTGCGCGGTGTACTTAGATCTTGATGGGTTTAGCTAGGTGTGGACTGTGAGGTTTGAGGTGTTGAAAGGAGATTTCGAGTTACGGTTTCAGGTGAGTTCAAGGCCCGAGAGTGTCAGACTCATGGTGGGCTTACATAGGGGTTTTTGTCAAGGATCATGCGACTTAGCAACTAGGGTTATCAATGAACTAGGTAACTATACTTATATAATTAAAACCCCAATAAAGGACCTTGCTTATACTAAGTCCCATGACCCTGCAAGTTGGGCTTGAACAGCTACGTCGGGTTTGCGCTCCTGGGGGCCTAGGACTATAAGTACTACAGAACCGTTTGAAGGAACCCTCCCAGAGCCTGACAGGAATCCTGTATTGCGTTTAGGGTTGAAGGTTTAAGGTTTTAGGTTTAGGGTTTAGGGATACAAAGTCCAATAAGCTCCAAAGATGGATACAGGCATACTTGCCGGACGCCACACTACACATCTCCTTCGGCCCATTGGCAGCTCACTCAGTGGAAGCTCAGGAGGCGGATGCTGTGATACTCCAGGTGCATTGAGCACAAGTACCTTCAAGCCAAAAGCCTACAGCCGATATGTTGAACCATGACCTCGAAGCTTAAATCGGCACCTGCACACACCCTTCCTGTGGGCCTCTTATGTTCGTAAGTTCCCAAGTTCGGAACGCGAATATTCCACAGTTCATCCCAAACCGCGAAACTGCATCCCACACCTTGGACTCTCGAGGTAAGATTTGTGGTTTTGGGTTTAGGTTCAGGCCCTCCGGCTGAGTATAGCCGAATACTAAGAATGCCCAGTAGTACCCTTGTTAGGGGTACCTTTAAAAGGATCTATAAGGGTTCCTCAAAGGGATCTATAAGGGTTCTATAACGGGTTTAGGGTTTCCGAAAATTAGGGGCTAGGATGCCTAGTAGTACCCTAATTCCCTTTTTGTAGTCCTAGGTTCCTTATAAAGTTACCCAGTACCAAAAAGGGAGCCCTGTTATTCCTAGGTCCTAGGTTACTGGGCATCCTAAGGTTAGATTAATAAGAAAGGACGTATGGGCTGTAGGGTTTACGGGTTAGAACAACGAATATAGGTTTGGGGGTTCTTATAGCAATTTCAATTGAATATAGAAACCCTCGTGCAGAAATAGACTATTGAATTATGTGCTAGTTATTCAGTTATTCAGGGGTCTAATAATTGATGAGAGTACCTCGCTCTAATCCCCATATACGTACAGTATCATATAATAGTACCCCAAAGCAAGAACTATGCAAGGCCTTACATTACGCAACCCCGCGCCTGCCACGGTAACGCCTTCAAATCTTTTCATCGACTGAGCACAGGAGCCCCGACTTTCAACTGCAAACCCGAATCCGCTCTGCTTGTCTCGAACTCAGAATCCACAACCCAAAGGGTCCTAGGTACCGTTATGGGGGATACCTCCCTAAATCAGAATCGTAATTCCTAATATGGAAACCCTCCATTCTGCTATATACTAGGACCCGGAGTAGGCCCTTATTCCCTTTTTTGAGGGTTCAGGTTCCCTTATAAGCCCCTTTAAACCAAAAAGGGCACCCTTTTTATTCCTAGGTTACTCCTGGTTCTAGACTATGTAGGTACTTTCGACCCTTTGGGCAAAAACATCCTAGTAAAGCTGGCGGGCAGTGCCTCCTAAAGACAGGCATGTGGCCGTAGCCGAATGCCGACAAAAACAACCCATTAAAGGGAACTCCAGAAAGTTGGAATATGGATTAATGGTAGGATCCCCTATAATTTGCCTTAAAGGGGTTACGATAATCATATTCCAACTTTCTGGCTTCTACTGTAATTTGTTATCCCTAAACCCTAATCAGCTCTAAGCAGCCCTAAACCCTTAACAGCCCTAAACCCTAAACCCACTGAAGGCACAGCTGGTGGAGAAGCTGATCCCTCCTCTCAAGAATCCTGCCACCCTTCGGGGGCAACGTGCGCGAGCGCAGTGCAGGGTTTTGGATTAATATAGGGCCTTAAAGTTTTGAATAACCACCAATACTACTTTGGGGGTTTCTTAGTAACTATAGTATAGTGGGCCTCGAAACAATATTCTAATCATTAAGGCCCCTTTAGTGGGAGCCTTTCCACTGAGGCTAGGGTTTTGGGGTATGCTATACTTTGTGTCATAGAAACACTAGAGGTACTTCTTCAGGTTTCTATATGGCTGGTTGTCAAAAGTATGGTCCCATCTTGGGTCCCCATTATAGTACCGCACCAAATATTTAGGGTACCCCAAAATGGGACCATAATGTTGACAACCACCCATATGCTTCTTTAGTACAAGGGTATTTTGTCAAGAGGGCTTACCCGGTTGCAGAAACGGTTATGCTACAGGTTTTGGCATGCAGGGCTGGGGCATGGGTTGGGGATCGAGGCTATCGGGTGTCTCTGAAGGTTCAAAACACATTGGGGTTTAGGGTTTGGGGCAGTGTGCCGGTATATCAATGCTTTGGCCCTACAGTGCCTATAAAGGGACTACTTCAAGGCCAAAGTATGTACTGTATACTATGTGAGTATACCCTTATCAGCACGTCCTCCCCTGCAGAACCCCGGGAACAGGTTGCGAGAGGTCAGGCGGCAGAATGTATTTATTTTGATGTGATGAGGATCACGAGCGTAGTACGTAAGTCATACAGTATAGAGCACTTCTATGCTGAGGCTCACACCCCAAATTCAAACCCCTATTCAAACCCTAAACCTGAGTAGGGTGCACCAGAAACTCGGCCAAAGCCTGCTTTGCGCTGCAGTTGAGATCGGGGCCTTCTGGAACGCATCGCAAGTCGTTTTGGGCTTCGAGGAGCCGTGATGTTTTGGTCATTGAGTTTTGAGTTTAGGGCTTCGAGGGGCATCGTGCTTCAGGACGTGAGGTATGAAGCAGAGTTTTTTTTCCTTAAACCCTAAACCCTAAACCCTAAACCCTGAAATCCTCACCAAAAAAA